AATATGTTACACAAAATTTGCGCAAAAGGTTTCCGGAAACAGTGTACATCGAATATGAATACTATGGCTCCTTGTGTAACCTGATTTTCATACGCCACCTTTATAAACTCAAAAGACGGATGCATCATCCGAAATGTGAGATGCGAGACCCTTTGTCAACCACACAACATTGTAAATTCCCAGCACCGATATTCTTAAGCATGATTGGGTTGCCATCACAACCTTTCCTTGCTGCATCAGTCTACCACTTTGTCTTATTGGTGATGGGATAAGATAACTCGGTGTTGTTCATACATGGCAATGTTGATTTTGCTGCTCAGGGACGTCTTGTGTGTGACACAACGCTTAGTGCTTATTTGCGTGGCACTGGACACTATTTTCACTTCCTTTCTTCTCCCATTTGACATGACACGGGAAACTGAGATAGACGACAACGACCCCGAAAAAGTATGTATGCCCAAAAGATGGCCCCCCCCACACACACCTGAAAGCATACATATCAACATGATGGTTCTTTTATAGATCACTATATGCCTAGAGGATGACGAATACAACGAACGTAAAAAGGTTTTCGAAAAGGGCCTTAGTGCGCTCCTTGCCAATCAGCACTTTTTGCTGCTCTATGTACCAGATAATGGCAGCAAGATGCAAGTGATAAGGCCTTCCAGCAACCTATTCCATCGAAAGCGCATGATAAAAAGGATCAATGACACGAAAAGGGGCATTCCATCTTTTTACTACGCGCTATCGCACCTTTGGGGTCTCACAGAAAATGACCGGTACCACTGGAATGACATTAAGGAATACGTGGATGACGAAGAAGGACAACCAGTGAAGCCTGTATCAATGCGACATGAGAAACGAGATACATTACTTGCGCTCCTCAAGGATCATCCTGATAGTTACTGGTGGATTGATGTTTTATGTGCACGTACCGATACCCCCTTGGATATTATGGGCGATATTTACGCATGTTGCCTAGAATGTATTGCTATGATCGATTGCGACCCTAGCTTGATACCAAAAATTCACACAATGTCGGTTGGGGAAAAGGAAATGGGGGAACTATTGAGTCATTCATCAAGATACCCAAGATACGAGCGGATTTGTAAAACCAAAGCTCTGCAACTTTGTGATCTCTTGCACACATTTTTACAAAGTCAATGGTGGCAACGCGTGTGGACCTGGCAGGAGATGGCTCTACCGTGTGGAGACGTGCGATTCATGGCTGAAACAAGCACTCATCAACAACTCCAAACCAACACAATCACGCTGGATGAATTAATCAAACTTGGTGCTGTGGCATATACCCTAGATCATACTTTCGTTGCGAACTACAAGACCACATTACGCGGTACGTTGCATGGGATGTTTATAGTGGTGTATCGATGTACATACAAGACTTATCTAGTTGAGCAGAAGATATCAAGAAAATGGGATCCGAAGCCAAGGCTGTTTGTAACATTCTCGGCCCCATACGCGATGCCAGTGAATGCAACGACTCTCGTATCTCTGGAAGCGATCATAGATTTATGGATGTCATTTATTCAATGAAGAACTCCACACGACGTTGTTATGATCCCGCTGACTATGTCTATGGTGTGCTGGGTATGATGCAGATCCAAATCCCAAGGATGGTTGACCCATGTGAGGTTTGGCGGCATTTCTTGGCTGAGCTGGATAATTGTACCCCACATTTCAACCGTGCCCCTCAATGCATTGATCGCGCACAAGAAATTGATTTACGAGAAGCTGAAACTATTGGTGATGTGTACAAAAAGTTGTATCGTGCTTGGTATGGCGATTGGTGATGTGCACAAGAAGTTGTATCATGCTTGGTATGGCATTCACTTGTGGTGGTCATCGCATTCTTGTGGCAGAGAGCATCTCACGTGACCCATTCATTTCAATCAAAATGCTATCCTAGCAACGCGGCTGAAGGTGTAGACACACTCTCTCTCCTTTAAATAGTTCTTGAAGTCCAAATAAAAAGTAGGTTTCGTGATTGTACAGCTATGGTAATGTTTATCCAATATCAAGCATATGGTTCAATAATAGTACGGTGCTCGTGTTGTTACCCCTGTATGCGTTGCCTCCTTCCTTGCTGCTCACAGCCACTGGTTCACCCTACCACGTCTCTCTCTCTCGCTATCTCTCTTTCTCTTAACTACCCCCTTTTTTTGTGATCACACATTTAGATGGACCTCCCCTTTCCGTGCATCGTTTTCCTTTTACTTTTCTCTCCAACTTGTAGCATACATATTGCCTTGGGATTTATTTTGGGTTATACTACTACTACAACTACTACTCTTGCTTCACGCGCAATAATACTACTCTCTCTATCTTGTCTCATTCATCCGCCCCCCGTCTCCTTGTAACCTTTTTCCTTTCCTTTCCTTTATGTTCTCATGTCGCAAAGCACCATTACCTATCCAACGGAAGCGAATAGCTCAGTCATTTTCGGCATTCAAGTGGGGCAAGATCCTTACAACATTATAAGACAAGTGGACAATGACACCGTGGTCGTGACGCCAAAGATGAATACGAGTGGATTGACAGAGCTTAAGGTAGGCAATGTGGCCAATGGGGCTGTTTCGATGGAGCTGCTCACACACGCTAATATTGTATAGGTTGGTGTTCTGTTGCCATTCAGTCAAACCGACGATCCTTTCACTGCGGAAATTGTCTGGGGGTAAAAAATAATATAATTAGACGCATTGTTGTACGTGATCAACTGATCATTTGACATTGTAGAGGAGCATCCGCTATTCGAATGGCCATCAATGATATCAATGCAAAGGGCGTGATTCCTGGTGCCTATATCACCTTGATTCAAAAGGATTCATTTCCTGTCAGGTCCGTCAACCAAGATGCGGTCACCGACGCCGTTTATGCATCCGTCACTCTTCTTCAACAAGGCGTTATCGGGGTCATTGGTGATATTTCGAGTTCATGGACAAGTCTAAGTGCTCTCATGACAAGTACGCTTGAGATCCCACAATGCTCTTTTACTGCTACGGCTGGTACGTTTTATCTTGTGTACTATGTGTGCCATGCATGCATTGACATACTGTTTAGCTTCGTTTTCCGACAAGACGCAATACAAGTACTTTTTCAGGACGATCTCCACCCAAACGATATTCGGTGATGCCATGATGGGCTTTGCAACCACCCAAGGCTGGTCTAAAATTGGCATTGTATATACAGATGATCCCACCGGTCAACAATGTGAGTACTCATAAACAGACACGCACCTACAAGGATGATCACTCACATAGTAGACTCAAGTTTGTCAGCATGCCATTATGCATTCATCCTCCATGAACATCCAAGTGACCCATTATCAAGCCATCACGCAAGATGCATCGCCCAATGACATTGCCAACACACTTGCCAAGGTTTCTTCGGATGGCGTACGCATTATCTTGGTGGCAGCTTCGGGTGATATCCAGATTAATATCATGGTCCAAGCCGCTGAAATGGGATACCTATCAGACGACTATGTATGGATGCTTATTGGCGATGTTACTCAGGATCTAGCAACAGCCATCGACACACGCAATAGCAAAATCACGAACCCTACCGCACCATCATTCAACAATGCAACATCACCCTACAATGCAACCACACCCATCGATTTCAATTCCACATTTACAGGCGTCTTTATGTTTGATAATTGGCTATCAATGACCGGGTATCCACCGTTTGAATCTTTTCTTGATTCTTGGTCATCTTTGGACCCTACCGCGTAAGCTGACAATCATCATGACGGACCCTTTCATCAAGCTAAGACGTATCCATTTCTTTTTGTTAGCTATCCCTATGCAGGACAAAGAAAAATTAGCACCAATGAAGGGTATGTAATGCGTTTTTCATTGTGTAACATTGTTATTAATCCTTTGTATGCATCACAGACTTGCCTATTCATGCATGATGGTCATGGCGGAAGGATTCAGCCACGCTATTGCCAATATCACAAATCATACATCAGGGCTCGAGCAATTAAGGGAAGGCGATCTTGGCCAGTACATGTTACCACAGACGTTTAATGTTGGCTATGTTGGACCTGAAGGACCGATGGTCTTTGATTCCAACGGTGACGTGACAAAAGCGTAAGCATACGACCCCTACTATTATTCATCCTATCCACTTACACACGATTTAGGAATTACCTGATCTACAATGTGCAAGGTGGACATAGCGTCGTCGTCGGACAACTCATGGAAGGACATATACAATTCACCAACAAGCTCATGTACCATGATGGCACATCCAATGTAAAGGATCAAAAGAATGAATCAATGATACATGGAAGCACTAATGATGCATCTAGTAGCCTCCACCCGACTCGCCTCCCAGTCTTTCACTTAACCCAGATTTTTCCTCGGCAACGGGACTTGTTATCACTACCATTTCCTCATTGGGCATCTTTTCAGCAATGATGGTCTTCTTCTTGGTCGTTCTATTTCGGAAAAATGAGGTCTTTAAAGCATCTAGGTAAGGCATAGCCTTTGTTCCATAAAGCTGGTTGAGACTCATTGACTCTTTTTAGCCCGCTTTTTTGCTGCTTGGAGCTTATTGGATTCATGTTCACCTATGCTTCGGTGATTACCATGGTTGGCATCCCCTCTTATCCCACTTGTTATACCACGCCTCTCTTGTTCAATCTCGGGTTTCTACTTATTCTCGGGTAAGAAGCAATGAAACGTAGGGTCGATGCGTCAAAGTCTAACGGAGATTATACATAGAAACATGATTGCAAAGAACTATCGCATTTATCGCATCTTTAACAACATCTTCATCACTCGTACGGTGATCACCGATACCCAGCTCATCAAGACAACGTCTATTGTTGTGGCAGCAGACATGGTAAGATCATCCTCCACATCATTGAATGGTTATTGACGATGATTTTTTTAGATCATCATGGGCGTTGGGTTAGCTGTCAGCCGCCCTTTTCCTACAAGGATCGACACCTCCTTCTCACGCCACTATTGGGAATGCCACGCTTCGAACCAAAAGATCGAGCTTGTGTTTCGGGTCCTTTCTACTGTCTACGCCGCTATCATGCTTTTATTTGCTACTTTTTTGGCATACAAAACCCGCGCTGCTGGCAGGCGGTATAGCCATTACAGTGAAACCAAGCAGATGGGCTTATCTGTATAGTAAGTGTATGATGCGTTTTGATCTTTTGAACAAGTTTTAATCTTTTCCCCCAAACCATTAGCAATATTCTTTTCTCTGCTTTGGTTGGTTTTGCGGTGATGATCAACCCCATGGCCGATTTTTATACCACGTATTACATTACCATCATCACGATCCTTTGGGCCACGACGTTTTCTCTTTTGGCATTGTTTCTCCCTAAGATCCATGCATTTTTCAAGCAAATGCGTAAAAAGCACCAAGACAGCAAGAACAAAAACTCAGGAAATGAGAATGGGATGCTTTCGATACTTCGCTATGGACCAGGCCAAACATCAGGACATGATCATCAAGCAAGTAGCTTTGGCAGTGAAGGAGGTGAGCTGATCAGCTTGTCACGTATGGTCAACCTGCCATCCTCCAAGCCCAACAAGGATACTTTTATCGAAGTACATGAGGTATGTATCTATTTTCCTTCTCGTCATCATGTATGTATGTCATGTCATGCTAATAGGCAAATGTAGGGGGACATGCCTGTACGCCGCGTGTTTCGATACTTTCCATTCTTGTCTCATTGGGAGATGCAGCACATGATGGTGTTTCCCTGCCTGGGGTACTTTTCTTTCTTTTCTGAAAAAACCAAAGAAGGCGCTGTCATGTCTTACCGTGATGTGAGCGTGCACTCGGCTCAACTTGATGAGTATGTCCTCAAGATCCATGGCCAAGGATTATATGATTTGTATATCCAATTACCCGACTTGAATGCGCTCACGACGTGGGAAAGCGTGTTTAATGGCGAATTTCACAAGGGTCAACAACAAAAACAGCCATCCTCCTCTTTTTTGAATCTACCAAAAGAAGATCAAGATAACAAAGTAGGGTTATTAGTCCCCACAGAAACATCATCGTCACCGCCACCACCGGATGACAACAACAAACACCAGCATCACCGATCATTATTAGCTCATGACGAAAGTGAAGGTAGCAGCATCACTGTAGCCACTCATTTGTATTAGAAAAAAAGCAATTGTATATGTATATTATATCCACAAGGACGTACTAAGCAATAATGATTTGTGATTACTATTACGATGATTTATTCCAACTCGCTAAAAGGTGGATCTTCAATAGTAGCAGGATCGGCAGAAAGATGTTTTGTCTAAAAAAGAAAGATGACTGTTTAGAAAAAGGGACATTGATACACCTATACGATATACCTACCATTTCCCACAATTGCAAAATATTGTCTTCACCAGCACTTGCCATCACCCATCGTTCCATTGGATCCCAGCTAAAATCAGAGATTCGGCTTGTATGACCACTATGCATAAACTAGAAAGCGACATCAGGATCCATCCTCTTTTCTTGCTCCTCATGCCATGTTCAAAGACCACTTACCAATAACTCAGGTGGACCATCCTCCATATCCTCTGGCGTCTGTTCTTCGCCAATACGTCGCAAATCCCAAATGTTGATACGTCGATCCAAACCAGCTGAGCCGAGAATGGCGGGATCATGTGGATTCCAAGACACCTGAGTCACTTCGCCTTCATGAAGCTCAAACGAATGTAATTTGCTATCCAAATTGCGAATATCAAACAAGCCAATGGTCTATAGAGAGATGATTAGGGAAAAGGCTGGTTGTAATATACATCAAGCCCTCCCTCCTACTTACCTTGTCAGCGGAACCTGTAGCCAACATCCAATCTTGTCGCCAATTGAATGCAACGCTGTTGACTTCAGCTTGATGAGCCTGTGTACTGTTGGTGGGTTTGGTAGGTGATCGTGTATCCCAGCTAAATAGCAAAAAGGGTAAGTTTTTGTTCCACGTGTCGTACGTATATAAGTACTTACATTAACAATCGCTTATCATCGCCCACTGAAGCAAAAAGATGAATATCGGTGGCATGCCAACTAATATCTTCCACGCAAGCTGTATGGCCTTCGTAGCTAGCAAGAGGATCCGTAGATGCGCTGATATCCCAATGGCATACAATGTTGTCAAAGCCAGCACTCAAAAGATGATTGGCAGTGGCTGCATGTGGACTCCATTCCAAACCATATCCTTCCATCTGATGACCCTTGAGCCGTAATTCAGGTGTGCACTCCTCTTCCTTTGCTGTTTGGCGATTGAAGACTAAAACATCGGCTTCGCGTGTTTTGGTGGCAATGATGTTTGGATTGGAGGGTTGATAACGCGCCCGATTGACTTCTCCCTCATGTCGAATCTTTTGTCGTGTACGCCATCTCGGCTTCCTTGCTACATATCACATGTTGTTATTCAACATGATCCTCTCTCTCTCACACACACAACCTCGAATGTATACCTTTATCCGTTTCAGCATGGATATCACCCAAAGGCAAATCAACTTGTAACACTTGAAGAAAGTTGGGCTCTTCATCATTGGTATGTGTGCCAATAAGCAGCTCTTGCGTATAGTACTCTTCTGATCTGTAGTTTCAGTCAAGCGCACTGTCTTTTGATCGATACCATTCATCGTGTTGCTTACTTTTCCAAGAAAGGAAGCCATTGACATGTAAGGGTTGGCCAAGCAATGGTATGCTCCACCATCATTTCATAGAGCTGTGGTACTGATTCCTTCCATGTCTTGTATTCCTGGGCGATCTGAGTAGCTTCGTCGATATTCGTATCCTCTGTACGTGGCGGTGTCAATGGGTGAACGAGGTCAGCAATGCATGCATGCACCCACCTGTGTTGCTCATTGTTGGAGTAGGTGCCAAAAGGTAAAAGGGAGAGAGAGAGAGAGGAGATACACGTCCTATTTACAGTTGACGCGAGATTCCAAAAATGCAAACTGATCCCCATTTTCATATCCAGCAATTGGGCACTTTTAGATTCCCTGATTCACACAAAAACAAAGCTTTAGGTCTTTAATCTAAGGAGGATATGTACAACGGAAAAGAATAAAGACAAATGACAAAGAATTCGATACAAAGTATACAAAGAGTAGTAGAGGAAAAGAGGGGTGGGTTACTTAAGCGTTACGGGCGGCTTCAAGCTTCTCACGGAAGAGCTTTTCAGCATCATTCCAGACACGAGATTCGCTGCGAGTAGCCAATTCACGCATGGTGGGCAAAAGATCATGAGAGAACATATCAGATGATTCACGAGGAAGCAAAGTGGGCAAATGATCAATAGAGCAGACTTCCATAGGCAAGGGATTGCTGGTTTCCACGGCAACGGCAGGTTCCTTGAATGTGGTGTTGATGGAATAGATAGGAATAGGGTTGTTTGGATTGGTGGTGTCACAGGACACGTCGCAAACAACAGAAAGGTTACGAGGGCCATCCAACATTTCGCGAGTGATGAAGGGAGGAATCTTGGCAGTCAAATAAATGCAGTTGACAAAGATATCTATTATCCACAAAAGATGAGTCTTCTTCTCTTTCTCGACAACAACCACCATCAACCCATTCAAACCCACTTACCAGCTTCCAAGATTTGAGGGAAAGGACCACCACCCTTGGTTTCATTGATATCCCACTTGATAATGTTTTCTTCAGGAATACCAGCCTTACGAGCAAAATCGCAAGCACCGGTACCACAACGACCCAATGCACCCATCACCATAACCTTGGGTAACTTGCCATCATTGACTTTGGCTATGTATATGTGTGTGAGAAAAAAATAATGACGCCATGTTTGTAAACTTACCAGCCTCGGCCAAGCGACCCTTGATATAATCAATGAGAGCATCTTCATTGGGATAAGGCTTGAGAGCACCATAAGGCAACTTGAGCTTTTGATGGCACCACATGTCAATACCAACAGCAGAGCCAGCAAAACCAGCCATGTAACCAAAAGCTGCGACACGACGACCTACAACACAACAATGTCAATGAACCTGCCGCGCGTTTCCCATACTATTTGTATGTGTGTGTGTACCACCACGTACCGTTTGCGTCATTCAAAAACTCGAGATCCAAAATGGTACCGTTACCGGCATCAAATCGGTGAAGCAATTCCTTCCAGCCACCTTGGTTCTTGAAACAATGGGCAAAGAAAATGTGTGTATGGTGAAGAGGAGAATCATCGTTCTCAGGCAACTCCTTGAGACCCACAATGTAGGCATCGGCAGGTGCATCGGTCTTCCAGCTCAATGTATCCACCAAAGGACAGCCCACCCTACATAGCCAATATCGATCAATATCATCCTCCTTCACTATAAAAGATGCCGAGAGTAACTTACTTTGCGTATTCTTCATCGTCAAAGATACGTTGATCAGAACGCTCAACAGTGATTTTAAAACCAGCATCCAAAAGCTCCTTGGCCGTAGAAGGGGTCAAGGCAGCACGATGTTCCATGGGCTTGGTTTCAGCACGGAGCCAGAGATGAGGAGCAGAAGACATGTTGTGTGTGTATACTTTGTAAAGAGAGAGAGAGAGAGAGAGAGAGAGTAAAGAAAGAAAAAAAGATGGGAAGGGGTCTCGCATGTCAAACTTAAATGGATGACTTGCATCAAACGACGATTTCCTAATATGGTCATACCCAGGTGATTGATGCTGATGATCATTGGATCTCGGAACGCGATAAGTGTATCATCTCCACATGGCATCTAAAAATGACACATTGCTGGTCTATATCTTTTTTTTTATTCCTGTACAATAAAGATGATGCTATCTACTTTCTTCGGTTTCGACTCTTCCCTGATGCATTGGGATTCTTTCGACCAAATCCAATTCTATCCGTGCCATACATGTTACTTGCGGTCTTGCCTAAATGCACGCCACCCGTTTTGCCTGACAATGGAATGAAATCAGGATCAAAGAGATCAAGTGCTTTCTTGGGTTTCCGCTGTTGTGCCTTGACATATTCTCGTTGATCCTCACGCAAAACGATATTGTTGACATGACGACCTCCCTTCGGAGTAGGAAGAGCGTACTATGTACATCCATGTCTTAGCATTCATTATTCTCTCTTCCACCCCACCAAAATACCTTACCTTAGTGCCACGCAAGTTGTATTGGAAGTTTTTCTTTAAATGATAAATGACTTGGCCTTTGCTGTTGGTACTGCATGATACACGTTGTAATGATGCATTGCCGCACTTTGGACAAAACTTCTTTTCCATGTTGGTAGTAACACTAGGGAGGAGTGAATAAACAGCATGGTTTTTAAAAAGGGACACAACTTACGTGAAGCAAGCATGACAGCGTAGCACCCAATTCTTGACTTTGGTAATACGATGACCACCGGTAGAGACCAAGCTCAAGTTCATTTGGAGCAACACGTTCTAAAAAGATGGACTGAGTTTAATAACTTGGACAAGACGGCATAATCCTTTCCATACGCACCTGCATAGCAAAATCACCCGTCATACATGCCACGCTTAAGGATTTGGGATTGTTGAGCTCATCCGCTTTAACACCCATTTCCATAGCTCTGTGCTCAGTGACATTCTCTGGTGTAATCCATCCAGCATCGTCATCTTCATCGAAATCTTCCACCTCTTCAACAATCACATCGTTTGCTGCTGTAGGCGATGATAAGGGTTGCTGCTCTTTTGCTTCTTGATCATCCACCTTGGCATCACCGCTCTTCTTCTCCTCCTCCTTCATTGAAAGATTTTGCATTTGCTCTGTCGTTTCATCCACAGCAGCAGCTGCTGCAGGCTTCTTTTTGTTCTTTTTGCTGGCAGGTTTCTTGCTGTTGTGATAACCCTTTTTCTTTGGTTTGGCAATCTCCCAGCCGTCTTCATCCACAGAAGGTTCATCATCATCATCATCATCTTGAACTCTGAGTGCGGTGTTTTGTGGTGGTGCCGAAGGAAGTTTGCCAGTAGGGCGAGTCTAAGAAAAGTGTATCAGCATTCCATCCTATCACACATCTCCTTGTCTACTACTCTTACTTACACGTAAAGGCTCGGAGCGAATGTTGTCAAGACCATTTGTGCGTTCTTCCAAAGTGTAGGTCAATGCCATCACTTTGATATCGGGCATCGACAAGGATGCAAAATCACCCGTCTTTTTGGAGAATTCCATCACTAATCATACATACAAAGGTTATTACTTCGTCTATCGCTGCAAATCCTAAGGTCGTTACCAGCTCGCACAGCATTTTCGGTTGGATCTTCAATTTTGATCTCAAAAGGCAGTTGATCGAGGTACTGGCGAGAGTGGCTGCTTCGGATCTCTTCGATCACCTCTGGACAAGTATAGTATTCTCGAGCGACATTGACCAAGGTCGTTCCATGTACAATGGCGTTGGTATCAATGACCAGTTGGCCGATTTTCGGATCCATAACAAGAAGGGAGGGGAAAAAAAGTTCAAGCAAAAAGTAGTAGCAGCAGTGGAGGTAGTAGTAAATTTGATAGTTATGACTGCTGCAACCCAGCATGAATGAATGGTGACCCACACATCCACCTCCCAGGCGACCGTATCCATGGCTACCGTTGTTGCCACTTACATTCCCAAAACAATAGCATAGTTTATTATACAATGGCACATGAATAAAATGTTCATCATCACATTTAACAAATGTCTTTCGCTATCATCCAATTAGTCAGCATGTTGCATGCGCCTTTTAGGTGTATGTATGTATGTATCAAAAAATTATTCCTTTTTGGCATCATGATTACTACTGCTACTCTTCTCTTCTATGGTATTATCTTCTTCTAATTCGACCTTGTTGATGACCTTGGTTGCTGTAGATACCCGCTCGCCGCAACGAAGACAAGACCATTCATCACCAAAGATAGCCAATTTGCTCTGGATACAATAATAGCAGTACACATGTCCACAGTCGGCCTTGTAAGGATTATGGACCGTGTAGTCGCGAACTTGGCCAATAGGTCCCGAGTCGCTGGAAGATGAGTTATCGTGGCATACGGCACATTGGTTTTCGGGCAACTGGTCATATCCTTTGGCTGATACAAGGTAGGCTTTAGGAAGAAGCGTACGCATCAAGCGTAACTTGAGTTTCTCCACATTGATCAATGGCACAAGGAAAAGAAGGAATTCCTAAGCAGGATATGTGTAAGATGGATGACGATGTAGATCACCCTCTCTACTTACAGTGAATGCATGCCACACCATTTGACGATTTAAGAATTCAAAGCTGACTTGGCGATTCAATGACTTTTGTGCATAAACCATACGCATCCCCAGGATACGATCAATCAATGTGCGAAACCTGGTAGATAGATGAATATACTCCATTCACACCAATAGCCCATCCATTCCCCCCTTTTTTTACCTTCCACTCCATAGGAATACCAAAAAGTTCAATAGAGAGAATGCTTTCCAATACTTTTCGCCTGCTTGAAGGACACGATACACCTTGTTACGGATATCTGACTGCATCCACGATGTTAAAAGAGATCATGCAATACATCGCACCCATTTCTCTTACCTCGTCCAATTCACCCCATCCTTGTTCAGTAATGTATCGATTCGATCGTGTCCATGCATATTGTCCTCCCACCGTCAATACACCATAAAGGATCTTTTGTGTTTGTGTCAATGGCGAATCTTTGGCAATGGATTCTACTATATTAAGGGCATCATCACCATCATTAGCTACAATCATGCATTGCCTTGCATCCTCTTGTGTCTTACATGGTCCCCGATGTTTCCATTCATTACGATATTTCAAGTTTTGAAGTTGGGCACCATACGTTGCATTGGAGTCGTATACTGAGAATTTGAAAAGGACGAGGTTCAACACGGCTAATAACTCGGGCTCAAATCGTTCCTTGAACGTGGGCTATATTGTTGGGGTTTGGTGGGTGGGTGGGTGGGTGGGAGAAAAGGTTAGCAACACGGTCTCTCTCTATCATCACCATCACCATCCAATACTTGCTTTGAATAAGGATAAGGCGCTCCATAATTGTTCTTTGAGTATGGTAAAAAGCTCACTGTCCAAAATATCGGAATCCAGTTGGCTGACTCGCATGACCTTGATGGGCGTCGTTCGTGCTGTAATCATGGATCGCCGTATTTTAGCAAGCGTGGGTTGCATGTCTTTCCAAAGGGTGGACCATTCTGCTACAGGTGGATCGGCTGGGGATCGTGGCATGACTAATAGGATATGTGGTAAAAATGCAGCGTCAAAGAAAGGAAAGAGAGCAAGAGAGATACCCGTTTCAGTTTAAAACCAGCCATGATCTATCTATACTCTACTACTACCCCGCAATTTTCAATCATCATCATGTGATAAAAAAATCTAGTATGCATTTTATGGCGAGAATCAAACAACAGCTTCTTCATCACTATCTTCTATATAAAGTTTTGTTTTGCGACGGTCGTCATCGTATTGTCGTTGACGTGTACGAGAAAAGGTGCTATTCTTTTTTCCATGGCGATGGTGACCCTCTTTTTGCTTGGCAACAACAATATCCAATGGGATGGGTGGTAAAGGCGTTTGAGGTGGAGGTGGAGGAGCAGGCATACCAAATGATTTATGTCTCCCGCCCTTGTTTTCTTTATTTGAATCCTCCTCCTCCTCCTTTTCGTTATCCATCGTAGTATTCAAAAACGCTTTCTGATCAGGTGTTGTTGTTGTGGTGGTGGTGGTGAATACAACGGTGCGAGGCGATGAAAGTAATGTTGAGGAGGCAATCGTAGCAAGGTCAGGTGAACGATCACCACGTTTAAAATGATCATCAACATCAGAGATGAATGATTCTTCAAGTAGTGATGTAGGGGTAGCTTCTTGAGGACGTAATTCAGTGGCTGCCGGAAGACCGGGTGCATTACTATAAACCATGGATGGTGGACGCGTATGGAGAGTCATGTGATCTTCACCCAATTGCATACGATTTTTGTTTTTGGTGGTGGTTTGCTTCATGGTGGTGGATGCTTTGGTAGGGTGATTGTTGCTGTAGGTGCAGTTGGCAAGATCCACATTGATAGGTTGCAAAGAATGCTTTCTCCTTTGCTTGTGCTTGATTGGAAGCTGCATCTGGTGATGACTTTGATATACCTCTTGATCATACTCATGTTCATGGTCACCATACTTGGGTTCATGTTGATGATGAGAGGTTAAATCACTGGCTGAAGGCGACTTGCGTGGTACACGACGGCAATCACCAATTCGGCTATTATTAATACCAAGCCGATCTTCATCCAAACTATGTTTGACAGCTGAAGAGGAGGAAGCAAGGATATGGCGAAAATGCGGTATTTGAAGAGGTCGATCTTTTATCACTCCTTGGCGTAGTTGTTGTTGTTCTGCATAGTATCCCTGGGGGTTGTTGTTGTCGTACTCTTTTTCTTCCTCATCCTCGTCCCATTCAAGTTTACTACTAGTAGTAGAAGGCCGCCGCTGCTGTTGCTGTTTTTCTTGTTCTGGTGTAGATGCAAGGATAATGGGTATTTTGGCTTTGATGTCTTCAAATTGATGCTCAAATTGAAACGTAATTTCCAATTCATGGCATACGCTAATAAGGGGCGACTCAAGAGAAGGTGTCACGTTGATCCTGTGCATATTGTGCTGTATTTGAAGTGGTCGTGTCCAAGTAGATCGTTCCATAGCAGCTTCCACAGTATGAAAAAGGGCAGGGATGGTGCGTTTGATGTAGCGTTTATGATTACGGTTGCTGTTGTTGTTGTTGCTAGGAAATACCACGTGATGATGATGATGATCCCCCATGCTTTGTAGTTTACGATTGACGCTTTTGCAGTCCGAGCTAAATGATCCAAGAATTACATATATCAAGGAGACTGGCAAATATATAAAAAGTATAATGAATCATCCTTTACCTGTACATTTCTATTTGTTTTAATTGAGTACGGATGCGGCGTACGGATTTTTGTGTAGCAAAGCATAGGTATCGTATAGAGACTGGGATTGCTGCCTGTTCCAAGGAGATTGCTTGAGGAGCCTCAATCTCATAATGAAACCTTGCCGGGATTGTATTCTCATAGAGCCGATGCTCCATTAAAAGGGTATCAGACTTTGAGGAAAATGAAGAGGAGAAAAGTTGATGTCGACGTATTTGAATTGGATGTTCAGCAGTAACGTATTTCTTTTGTAGGCCCACTGCCATGGATAATTCAATCTTGTACGCGATACTAGCGCGTTTGGTTTTGAGGGAAGGTGGGTAAATGTTGGGTATTTCCAACAAGAAAGGAATGACATGCTCGCCTGCAGGTAATGTCATTTTACCAAACAATGCTTGTTTGAGCTTTGGAAGGATGGGTGATTCTAAAATGTTGCCTTGGAAACTCGTACTTGACATGCCTTTCAGCTTGACAACCATGCTTCGAATCTTGAGAGGACGACTCAATGCAAATAATGCCTCGCCTTTCAATGTCACACCATCTGACATGGTATCATAATCGATATCACCACCACTGCTTGTAGCAGTAGTACTAGGCGTGTCATCGGCAGAGGATTGAAGTCGTCCCATAAAATCCAATACCGTTTCAGCTGGAACAATTTCAACGTGTTTGATCCCGATATCCTTCATGTAATATTATTAGCTGTGGTGGTAGTGCAATGATGGTGATGATGATGATGATGATGAAGAAAGGAAAAGAAAAAAAGAGGATGATGCTCCCTTTAGACAATGATTTATTATTGTATGTATTTGGGGGGTGGGGAAGGTTGGTTTTGTTGATTGAATGAGGAATAGGCAAGAGGAGAAGAAGGGTTGTTGGATAGTTAAAAGGGGTATTAAAGCAGTAGAAGGAGAGAACATGTTATCAACCTTGTATGTAGAGTGAGTATGTATGTAGCGGGAGAGGAGGAGGAGGGGAGGAGGAGGAGGAGCAAGGCAAATTTAGGTCGCGTGGGTATGATGGAGGTGGGGCAACACGCATTATGAGGTCCCTCGCACTGGTGTTTATCACTTTATTTTGTATCTCATGTCCTTATACCAAAGTCGAAGAGAGTTTCAACCTTCAAGCAACGCACGACATTCTCCATTACGGCTCTGATATCGCCAACTACGATCATGTCGAATTCCCTGGTGTCGTTCCACGTACATTCATCGGCTCGCTTGTTCTCGGTGCCATCACCAAGATGATCCTTTTTGTTATGCCTTCAGACCTTCAACTGGTCGTCAATGAACAATTGATTGTGCGACTTGTCCTCGGCACCATTGTGGCAGCAGCATTGACACGCTTTCAAACAGCTGTGGGCAAGTTGTTTGGTTCAGGTGCTTCTACTGCCTTTGCTTTGCTTACTTGTTGTCAATTCCATATTCTATTTTGGTCCAGTCGTACGCTTCCCAACACGCTCGCTCTACCACTTGTATTGATGGGAATGGCAGCATGGATTGAAAGTCTTGCTGTACAGCAACAACAACGTGTTCAGCATTTACAACGCATGATTTGGTATCTGGCACCTGCAGGCATTATCTTCCGTTTCGAAGCCGGCATTTTATTGGCCATCTTGGTGATGATTGAATGGATTGGCTATCACAACCTTCCTTTGACAGCCTTGTTGAAGCATGGCATTCTCTCAGTGATACTCAGCTTGGTATTGACCATCTTGGTGGATTCATTCTTTTGGCAACGGTGGTTATGGCCTGAAGGCGAAGTGTTTTATTTCAATGCCATCTTGAACAAGAGCTCAGAGTGGGGCACAATGCCGTTCTATGCCTACTTTTTGTTATTCTTACCTCGCATCTTGATGGTGTCCTATCCACTCGCTTTACTTGCTTATTGCCGTGATGCCACAGTACGTCGACTCTTGATGCCATCCTTGATTTATATCGGCCTCTTCTCTTGTCTACCTCATAAGGAATGGCGCTTCATCATTTACACGATCCCTGTATGGACAGCAGCAGCAGCAGCTTCGGTGGTTGGATGGATGCGATCAAGGTTGGGTTTGGCATTGGTGCTCTCAGGGGGGCTAGCATCCATTGTTGGTTCGGTGGTCATGTTATCGATCTCTATGCAGAATTATCCTGGTGGTGAAGCATTGGCACGGTTGCATTTACTTGAGCCATCAACACAACCCCTTCATGTGCATTTGGATGTGCCCACAGCAATGACAGGAGCATCACGTTTTGGTGAATTATTCAGACCCGTGTGGCGTTATTCCAAGGATGAATCACACAAAAGTGCAGACGACTACATCGAGGCCGAATACACCCATCTCATCACAAGTCATCCTGAAATGCATAATGACCACTTTATCGTCGTGGATGAGATTCGAGGATTGGATTCTGTACGCCTCAAGACACCAAAGACCTATATCCAAGACCTACGACAATTCATTTCGAATCGGCATTTGGACGCCATACTACCATTGAATATCGTCACAGCACCCAAACTTTTCATTATGAAGCTACGAGGACATCCACAGACACAATGGGTCCATCACACCATTGAAAAGTATCCCATGGTCTTGTATAGCAAAACGTATTGGTAAGTAGTACTACACGTTGGCAATGGCCTTTTAGTTTCCCCCTCTCTAACCCATTGTTTTGTTTCAAGCCCATTTTGTCGTCGAGCCAAGCAGATCCTCAATATCCACTGCAGGAATTACAAGGTGATCGAAGTGGATTTACGTCCTGACGACATCGCCATGAAGGAAGCATTGTTTACTATCTCTGGAAGGCGCACATTCCCCAACTTGTTTCTACATGGCAAGAGCATCGGTGGTTCAGATGATATTGTATTGCTACAAAGCCAAGGGCGACTTGCAGAGATCTTGCCTTGTTGAGAGCATCATTAGACGATTAAAAAGCCATTGTATTTATATCACACTATTCTCGTGTCATCATTTGTGGTCATGTATTTATATGACACTTTTGGAGCCAAGTGGGGTTTTTATTATTATGCATGACACAAGGGACGCTGCGCACGTGTGTTACATGCCATGCTTGTTTGTAGCACTCTTTACCTGAATGGCGGGCGGGCGTGCTTTATTGTGGACAGCTGGAGTTTTAAAAAGCAAAAGGGCATTTCATTTCATGATGCGTCGTTGATCTTTTGTTTCTTCCTCTTCTTCCTGTTTTTATCTCCTCCACTTTTTCACCCAACACGGAAAAGCATGCAGCCAACGTCAACCTCTTCTTCATCACTTTTCAGCAAAAGATCAACATCGATGGCCCGTGCATCTGTGTTTGTGGACCCGCAGCCGACCACACCACAATCAGAGGATTATGCTCGTCCTTCTTCTATTTTCACTACCACCACTTCTCGTCAGCCAAACCTTGTTGAAAATACAAGCAAGTCATCATCAGCATTGTTGGCACCTATTGGCGTACGCAGAGCTTTTGGAGAACTCACCAACCATCATCGTCAACAACAGCAGCAGCCTGATACACCACGTTTTCAATCACACAAAAAGCTCCCTTTGAGCAGCAACAACTTGATGGCCTTTAATCCACAACATGCTCCTCCTCCAACAAAACCGCAGCAGCAGCAGCAGCAGGATGATAATCCATCATCATCATCATCTCGATTCCATGCACACAGCTTTGACCCTTTTGGCACTGGGATGGATCCTTTTGGGTTGAATCAATTGGGACTAGCAGCAAACACGGCACCTTTTGGACAAAGTACGTGATGCATAATGCATATAGATGACAGCTATGGCTGGCTGACTCTTAAATTACCTACGTATCTTTGTTCAGGAACTACTAGTACTATCAATCAGTCGCAGCATGTTTCGCGCCATATATGCGTCTCCCATCTTCCAGTTGGCACAGATCCACGTGTACTTGTAGAAACATTGCAGGTACGTGCCATGTTGGTTGTTGATAGGTTATACCTATAATAACACGAAACATAGACCTTTGGAGCTATCAGCCATGTTTATCCAGAATACCTTCACACCAACAGGTCTTTGACGGTCTCCTATTACGATTTACGCAGTGCTACGCAAGCCGTGAATGCCCTTCAAGCGCTTGGAGATTCTTTTTCCTCAAACGAATATCAGCATGTCCAAGTGGATTTCTTTTCCGATAGCAAGCTCTCTTTTCTTCATCATGGTGGTGATAATGATGGCGATGATATCATGAGCACTGAAGCAGCCACAGTCATTGTCACAATGCTATCTTCTGGTGCAAGAGATAAAATGGATGCTTTCGATTACAAGGTACGTTTGTAGTACATGACTATTAGAAGGATGTTGTACACTCATTTTAGAGTCATGTGTAGGGCTTTTTTCAATATTGGGGTGATATTCGATCTATTCTGCCATTGGACTCTTTTCCGGATCGGTTGATTGTTCAAATCGACTTTTACGATACACGAGCTGCTGAACGTATCATTAGCCAGGTCCATGAGCAGGTTTATGAGGTACATGACTGCATGACGATGTCTGATCACGTGTGTGGATATTGACTTTTGTATCACAAAGGGGATCATTTTCCATGTATCGCATCCACCACCACCCTCATCATCATCCCGTGCTCGACCCACTAGCAACCAATGGAACGATGGTTTTCTCAATCGACTTGGTGCCACCAACAACAACTTTGACATTTCCGAAAATGTATCACAGCAGCAGCAGCAGCATTTGGCATACCCATTTGGGCCATCACTTCTTTATTCACAACACCATGACAGCAGCCATCATGATGACACTATGCAACCTTCCAATTCTTTCAGCTTGTTTGCCAATAGTTCGAATCACCGACGCCTTCCACCACCACCACCATCCATGGTTGTTGCTCCACCAGGACATTCTCATCACGTAACACCATCATTGGAAAATCGAGCATCATTACAAGTTGCCGAGGACAATATCATGGAAGAGGTCGCCATCATCTCATCAGAAAGAAGACCCAGTGTGGCTACCAGATCATCCTCAGTGTCATCTTTGAGAGCCACGACCACAAGCCCTGATCATAATAGCAGCAACATATTCGATATTCAGCGTGTTATGGATGGTATGAAGAAAAACAACATGAGCAATCACTCTTATTAACCTCTTTTTATACAAAGGTTCGGATACACGTACTACATTTATGATTCGCAATATCCCAAACAAGTACACCCAGGTAACGAATAATGTTCTAAAGATATGCCACAAGCATTGCTTAATGCCATTTTTTCTTTTATAGCAAATGTTGAAAGAAAGCATTGATGCTACGCATTATGGGACTTATGATTTTCTCTATCTCCGGATTGATTTTCAAAACAAGTGCAATGTTGGTTATGCATTTATCAATTTTATCGACGTCAAGTAAGTGGTGGCCTATGATGCTATCCAAGGGCGACTGATGCTAATGCATCCAAGGTCTGTCATTTCCTTTGCCCAAGAACGAGTTGGAAAGCGTTGGTATGTATGACGTCTTTGGATGATGGTGGTGGGGATTCATTTACTTACGCCAAACCGTAGGAGCCGATTCAATTCGGAAAAGCGTTGTTCATTGTCGTATGCCAACATTCAAGGAAAGGAAGCTCTTGTGGAAAAGTTTCGGAATTCAACCGTGATGGATGAACCACCTTCTTACAGACCTATGCTGTTTTACTCATCCGGCCCTCACGTGGGTGAACAACAGGTACGTATATACATGATGAGAAGCGGGTCTCTGTATATGTCTTAACGCCATCTTTTATGTAGCCATTCCCTGAACCTACCGTATCAGCCGAAACACGACATCAACGACGACGACGCACAAGTGGAAGCCAACGCCAAGAGAAAAAACAATGATCTTTATTCTACTTCAACACCCCCCCCCAAAGAGGATCAATTGACTTTATATAAAACAGCACAGACGCCATTTGCTTATACACACATCATCACGTAATATTTGCTAAACAATCAACACACACACTCACATTACTACATAAAGAATAAAATGCATATTGAGTTTCTTGCTCTAATGGACTTTGTGGGTTGTTAAAAGGTACCTTTGCATTGAAGACCAAGCGTTGCGTATTTGGTGATAGCCATCATAGGGATATTCAAATGCCTATGTACTTTTGGATAGGGTGTACATAACGGGCCATCCGAGAACACAAATCATGTCATTCAATGTGGCCCCTATTTCAAGTTGGCTAGGTGATTAAAGTTTTGCCCTTTGTCAATGGATGACTGCTGGGAAAGAAAAAACCGATCCATCTGCAAGGTTATGATGGCATTGCACAACATCCATGTGCTTTTATTGGTGATTGACATGATGGTTGTGCCATTTTGGTAGTATCAGCTCTTTTTCTATATATAAGGATTGATCCTAGAGATCTTTCGCCTGCCTGAGATTTGATTTTCCTTTGCAGGTACGGAGTTAACTATGATATCATTTTATCCAGCTCTCTGTGTGTGTGTGTGATGCACTGAAACAACAGCACAGAAAAAAAGAAGGATTATATATATATGTACCTATCCCATATGCAAGAATAGGTAGACATTACGTCTTTAAGGGGGTTGTTATGAGTGTGTGGGGGTGGGGGTGGGGGTTCTCTTTAAAAACTCGTGCTGTTGCTGCTGTACTTTTGGATCGTCAGTTTACGTAACGCCGCAAAGCAAAGAAAAAGAGTGAGGTAGACATCATGATATCATTCTACCGATGACAAAAAAGAAAAAGAAGGGGGGATGAGTTTGTACAAGAAGAAGATGGGTTAGCTAGTTAGACCCTTTACTATTGAGAAGGAGGGGGAGTTTGTGCAAGGTATCATGTGTGTGCTGGTGGTAAGAGAGTGTATTGTATATGATGTTGTGCGGGGTGTTTGAGTACAAAATGTTAGCTTGTCTTGAAGCATAGGACACCGAGATGCACTTATCGTAAACAAAAGGCTGTACTTTTCCGATTTCAGTAGTGCAGGCAGAACCTTCTCTTTCCTTTTCCCAGCACGGTAAACCGTCGGATATCACTTTATTCCTCACCCACACACACACACACACAACACCTCTCTCTTTTTTCTTTTCCTTTCGACAACCTTATCCACTACACGGTCGAACGACATTAATACGAGATACAAAAGCGAGCGAAGAGAACGTACGAGAGAGCGAGCGAGAGAGAGTGTGTATATATCAACAGTGTGAGCTTTGTTCACTATGAACGTTCCTTCAACACCTACCCCGTCTTCTGCTACAAGCGGGCAAACAACAACGGCAACTACAACAGCACTACCACCACCACCTCCACCACCACCACTATTACAACAAACAACAAAAACCGACATGGCCATGCCTTCTTCTTCTTCATCATCATCAACCACCTCCGCCGCCATTCAGTCCATCTATGCTGAAACGTTCTCAGTCGTAGGGAGCGAGTTTTTAAACGTCCTTGTACGAGAGCTGGCTCGTTGTACTCAATCACAGCATGTCCTGATCTATCAACTCATGACTCGACAAGACTACAATGAAATGGAAAAGCATAGTCCTTTATTTGACAAGTTACCGCCCATGAGCAGCAGCACAGAGCAATCGCCCATAGGTTCACCACGCCGTCACCACCACCACCCACACCACCAACACCAAGCAACAAGTAGTAGTAGCAGTAGTAGTCGAGGAGGAGGAGGAGGACTATCATCGTCTCAAGGCTGCCATAGCAACGAAGAGGAGGAAGTGTTGATGGTTCGAGCATCTCATTCAACGTCACCTCAGTTGTAAGTTTCATGGTATAAAGGGGGGGTGGAAGCGATGAAGGATAGGTAGACTAAAGCATGGTAATGTTAGCGGCCAACATACCGTCTTGCCCTTATCTGCCATAGAAGATACGCCATTCATGAATACCATTCTCGAATCTACTTGTTCCCTATCCAATAAGGCTATACATGATTCGCCAGTGTTTCCTACGATTGACAGCTTTGTTGGTATTCGACTTCATGCAACAAGCAATGCAAAAGAAGCTTACACATTGGGCATGCTTTGTATCCTCGACAACAAACCCATGGACCCTGCCATGTTACAAAAGGCACAGCAATTGTTATTGGCCGTGCAACAAAGGACGTCGTGTGAATTGGAGCGGATGGTGCATGAAGAATGTCTTGTTCGAGCTAAAAATGCAGCAAAGATGGATGCAGAGAGCAAAATCAAGTTCCTTGCAGATATGAGCCATGAAATTAGGCAAGTTTGTTGTAGTCATGGGCGATAAGCGGCAGCGGCAGCGGCATTTAACACTCTTTTTTATGACAGGACACCGATGAATGCTGTGATTGCACTTACCGACTTGTTACTTCAAGAGCGATCATCACTCAATCATGAGCAGACGGAGCATTTGGAGGTGATTCAAACCAGTGGACATCATTTGTTGACGGTAAGAAAAGAAAAAGGGGGGGATTCGAAAAGGGATACTGATAGCCAAAGTATAGGTGATCAATGATATCCTTGATCTATCAAAGATCAACCATGATCCGAAATTCAAGCTGGAGCATCGTCGGTTTAGTCTTCGTAAATGTGTAAAAGGTAAATGCTGAGCTTTCCCTTTATGTTGGGTTCATGGGAACTCACGTTGATGTTTCAGATGCATTGAACATGGCCCGGCATCAGGCATCCATGACCCAACAAGGCAAGGTCGTCAGTGTCTTTGAATATCCGCAACATGTCCATGATCAGTTACCCTTACGACAAATGATCGCTGAGCTCGAGAGGGCCAACTTTTTGCCTACAAGGAAATCACATCATTCAGGGAAAACACGTCTACCTCTTTTATGGCGGATTGATGCTGATGTGCCTGATATTCTTATGGGTGACACAATGCGACTCACACAAATCCTACTCAATTTATGCTCCAATGCAGTCAAGGTATGTGTGTGTCTCTCATTAGTTTTGTTACGAGTGTGGCCAGGTGATTCACATGTGTATGTATATATAGTTTACGAGGGAAGGTGGTATTCGTGTGAGGATCAAGCGTTATGTCCCAACCCCTTTTCAAACGGTGCCCAAGGAAGAATCTGTAAAGACATTCAAGCAACGATACGATGCAAAGATTGAGACCATGTGGTCACGTGCGATGCGTCGTATGAACAGCGATGGCAAGAATAATGGTGGTGGTGGTGCACAAGAAGTATGCAATGATGACAATGATGATGAATGTCCACTGGAGAAGGCTATTCTTGAGATATCGGTGACCGACACTGGCATTGGCATTCCCACGGATCGACTTCCTCAGCTCTTTAAATCATTTTCACAAATTGACATATCAACGGCACGACGCTATGGTGGTACAGGCCTTGGTCTTGCTATTTCAAGTACACTTGTCAATCACATGGGAGGGGGTCTTTGGGTTGAATCGGAAGAACAACTTGGCTCCTGCTTTGCATTGACGCTACCTTTATCGATTGCACCACCCAATGATACCATGGATGATAATGTGGGTGCCGAGAGTGCTAGTACAAATAGCGTTCTTACTTCACCGCCTTCACCCGTATCCACATTTTCGGATGGCAATATCAGTGTGGGTTCTGCAGCGGATCATACGGCGGCGGGATCACCTTCACATTCTTCTCAACAACAACAACAATCCATCACATCACCACCCCTTTCTTATCAACCCTCACCCTTTCCAGGAACACAAGTACAGGCCTCATCGTCCGATACTAACGAGCCAGACTCGAGTGAATATATACCCAAATTCTCGCATGACGATGATAAGGATTCCATGTCACCTCCTACTACTACAACTACTACCACCACCACCAGCACAACTACAACTACAACAACTACTACGTCGACGACACCTTCTTCACCTGCAACCAACATCTCCAAATCCCCAATGGAATTCCAACCACGACATCCTCGCCCACACACCAAACAACGTTACCACCATCATAAAAAGACAGCAAGCAATGATGAAAATATTGCAATGATGTATCCCATCAAAATTATGCTTGCGGAAGACAATGTTTGTAAGTATGACGAGTCCTTGGTGGGGGAGATGATGATCCATGCTAATCAATGTATACACATAGTGAATCAGAAAATTGCCATCAGTATCCTCAAACGCCTGGGGTATCATGACGTGGTCGTGGCCAACAATGGACGTGAAGTTTTGGAATTAATGCGAGAAATCAAGTTTGATGTTATATTTGTAAGTGGTTATCATCACCTATCCCAACCCGCACAAAGTACTAAAAAGAGATGTAGATGGATTTGTATATGCCTGAAATGGATGGATTGGAAGCCACCCGAGCCATTATATCCGAACGAGAATTAGGCACCAGGGAAAGCGACAATGCACCACCCTTAATGAATGTATCCGAAGTATATATCATTGCATTAACAGCATCCGCATCACGTCAAGATCGACAAATATGTATCGATGCTGGCATGAACGACTTTATCAGCAAGCCATTCACCATGATGGAAATGAAGGCATCGTTGAAAAATTGCGTTACAAAGAGGAAAAAGAGAAGAAAACAACAACAAGAGGATGATGATGACGAAGAAGATCGATATCACACATCAACAACAATGAAAGAAGATGATCCAATGACAGGCGTGGAAAGGACGACTACTACTACACTCATGGATGGTGGTGGTGGTAGTGGCGACACTAATGCATCATCAAGGTCTTCACTTTCAAAATCGCAAGAGTACTTTATTTTCTGAACATGCCATCAACAAAGTATAGGATAGGCTTTTTCCTTGTATATCAGTCAAAAACATTTTTTTTTTTTTACTCAAATTTTTTGTCTATGTGATGTTGTCAAATGCGGCGAATCAAAGCCAATTGCATAAGTCGTTACATGAAATACTGACTTTGAACTAGCCAATGCAGGTGCCTTGATTGAAAGACAACAATGCGCAGCAGCTCTTCTTTTTCTTTTTCCTTCTTCCACATCCTTGTTCTTTTACCCGACAAAGAAACCCCCATGAGCCAGCAACAACGAGACCAACAACAACAAGGTCAGCGCCCTAATCGGCCTGCGCCTCAAGCTGCTCCTGCTCGTAATCGCAATCGCATCAGAGGCCCCACTTCGGCATTGACGAGCTTCTTGAGAGTAAATTTCACTTTGGGTTGCTGCTGCCATGGCACAATGGAATGCTAATCGGTCACCACTTTCAGGAACAAGGTATCCATGTACCGAATCGTGCTATACGTCAACGGCGAGAACAAGAACGACGACAAGCTGCTGCTGCTGCTTCGGCAGTAGAGAGTGATACGGCTAGTACGAGTACTACGGATGATCCAACCGCTGGTGCTGGCAACAACGACAACTCTCCAGAATCATCCTCCTCCACAACCACCACATTATCATCATCAGCAGCAGCACAAGGCAGTACGGCTATATTGTATATGCCAGGAAGACGAATTGGACGATCCAATGCTGCTCAAAACGTCATTGCTCAAGCTCAAGCCTCCTCCTCCTCGTCCTCTTCATCAAAGAAAAAGATGGTCAAAAAGAAGCGCAAGAGTGATGACAGCGACTATGAAGATAGCAGTGGCAGTGAGACGGATGATGGTACCTATGTTCCTGCTTCACGTCCTCCTCGTACCAAGGTTGTCTTTTGTGAAAAGTGCAAGAGCCGTTTCTCTCGTTCCATGAGTCAAAACTTGGATATTCAGGTGGAGAATCTCTGTCCCAATTGCCGTGAGGGTGGTAGTCCAGGCAGTTCAAAGCAAAAGGCACCTCGCAAGCGAGCACGAGGATTGACACGACCAGGCAAGGAGTTACACAAAGTATTGTCGCTTCAAGACATTTGCATTCGTGTAAGTAGTGATCATTTCTACGTACCATCGGTCGACGTATTGGGACTCTAATGAGAGTATACATGTAGGTGCTTGTCAAATATATTGATCAAGTCGAGGACTTTGGTGACATCGGCATGGATAACCTGGATACGATTGCCAAGATCATCTGCCGCAACCGCAAACTCAACAACAACACGCTACGTCTCCTCTTAAACCCCTTGATGACCAAGCTTGCTCTTTATGATTGTTCAAGTAAGTAGAACGCATGAAATGATGGAATGACTTATTGATATCGATACAGATGTTGATCATTGTGCGCTTGCCAATGTGGCTCACTTTTGCTACAAGTTGAAGGAGCTCAAGCTTATCTATTGTGGCCAATTGACATCCGATGTCCTTCAACTGTATGCGGAACGATTGAAGGATCTTCACAGCATTGATCTTTCAGGTCCTTATTTGGTGTTTGAGGAAGCATGGATCACGTTTTTCAAGACCATGGGCAAGCGATTGAAGCGATTCTCTTTGCGTCATTCTTTTCGATTTACCAAGGAATGCTTATTGACGTTGGCAGATCAATGTCCTGACTTGGAATCTCTTGAATTCTCTGATACGCCCATGTTGGATGATGACTGGCTGGAAGTGATTGGACGATTTGACAAGCTTGAAAAGATTCGATTGGCATGGCCAGATGAGAACCGATACCTTTCATCCGAATCCTTGATCAAGTTGATTAGCAAGATTGGGCCCAACTTGAGAGAATTGGCGTTACCCGGTTGCACGCTGGTGGATGATGAGGTGTTGACCAAAGCGATCATGGAGCATTGTCCCAAGCTCAAATCCCTGGATCTCGCGCATTGTCATTTGATATCTTCCGAAGGTGTGCAAACCTTGTTTAGTGAGTGGGCTTCACGCTATCCTCATGGTGGATTGGAGCATCTCAACCTTTCCCGATGTCTTGGATTGGATGACAAGGCGCTTGAAGCCATCCTTGCTTACTCTGCAAAGACATTAAAGACCCTCAACCTTCACAGTCTCGACTTGATTTCTTCCTCTGGCCTCGAGATGATTGCCGGCGAACTTAGACAAGAGGATGATGATGAACAACAAGGCAACAGTGCAAAGAAAAAGAAGCCAACAGAAAAGAAACCAGCCATTGCTTGCAAGGAGTTGAAGCAATTGGATTGCTCCTTTGTACGCTCCATGGATGATTATGTACTCAAGAAACTCTCGGCCACATGCAGCGCTCTTAAGGAATTGAATGTGTGGGGTTGTTACCAGGTTTGTGTTTATTTATGTCAATGCTTGCTAAACATCCCATCACTCACACTATTACTACTAGTTGACGGATCAAATCCTTTTACCACCCACATTGCGAGTCTGTGGAAGAGAAATGGCTTCATAAACACGCACTCTCAAACCAATCATCATCATAAAAAGTAGTAGTCATCGATATTATACGTTAGCTTTACAATTTGCATATAAAAACTAGCTCAATACACTTTACGTTCTATCAAGTCGATGTGGCATATGGCTACCGTCTAATACCAGTAGGAAAAAGTGATGGTGGGCTGCAAGTTGGATCAGCCCTTGTGTGGCGGAAGGGAAAAAAAGTGGCACGCCCAATGAGCGAGCCTTATTTGCGTCGTCGTTCTTTCTCTCTATCTCTCGCTCTCCCTCTCCTCTCTTTTTGTTCAACGCGCTTTCTTTTTTATACACAGCATGAGCAACGCACCACCATTCTACTACAGCCATCCACCCAATGCCGCTGGCGTAACACCTTCCATGATGGGAGCACCTGTTCCAGGACGTGGCATGAGCCCAGCTCAAATGGGCATGCCCTACATGCAACAAGGACCTTTCAGAAATATGGGACCTGATCCATCGATGCATCGCAAACGAGCTCAGAACAAGGTAATGGACAATGGTCTATTCGATTGCGTTCATTGTATTCAAGCAAGTATACATATTAGACGCCTCGTCAAGGTGGTGGCGTAATAGAAGATGGGGATGAACCATCCGGTGGTAAGTGTGCATAGTGTATATGCTGGTGGTGGTGCTACGAACTCATTGTATCATATTAGACGAGCTTGATGATATCTCTGCACGTGACATTGCTATGGCGCGTTACAAGCGCAATCACGATTACCTTTCTGAAATCTTCACACCCTATAATGCTTGTAAGTGACGATGATGCATGCATGGCTTCCTGGTTGTTAACATCATAGATCTCATAGCTTCCATCACACCCCCTCCACTGGATGTACCACAAAGCAAAGCCGAGTTGAACAAGTTGATTGTTAGTACAAAGGAAGCCAATGGTGGGTGATCAAGTATTAACATGGAGTATGTATATAGGAGGAAGAGCAAAAGGCGATTGAAGCAAGGAACACAAAGCAACAAGAGCTATTGAAATCAGTGGAAGAGAAGCGTAATAGCTATTGGGAGGCGATGACACAATTGGATAGTGCATCAACAACTGAGGTAGGATGATGAGGAAGGTTGAGAGAAAGAATGCGATCGCTAATGTGTATGTCTATACGCATAGGACATGTCAAAATCAACAGAGCGATTTGAACGAATGGCGGACATTAAAGTGGAGCACACAACGAGCAATGTTCACGCTGTACAAATCCCGGGATTGGAACCAGAGCAACCATCGACAACAGCTGCATCCTCTTCAAACAACAACAACAATACCAGAGAAAGCAGTGGTGGAAGTGGTGGATCAATGACGCCAGCAGCCGTAGCAGCAGCCAGAGATGGAGAATCACAATCAGGACCAACGAATATGGATCTATTCCAGTCTTACCCATCACAAGACGATAGGAGTGGTGGTGACAACAATAATGCAAACCGAAATGACGATGACAACAGTAACGATTTCTTCAACGAGATGGTCAACACGGGTCAAGAAGATGATGGTGGCAGTGTTAGCGAATTCTTAAACACCGGGGATATGGATTTTGAACCAAGCGACAAGCAAGAAGGTGACCAAAACAACATGACAGAAGAACAGCAAAGGAGGGATTAGAAAAAATAGTATGACAAAATATATTGCATTTGAAAAAAAAAAAGAGAACACTTTGGTTTTGGAGCGAATGTATGAGTGAGTGTTGTGTGTGCGTGTATACATGAATGCAATCTGCGACAAGAAAGTTCTACGCCACGCGGGGTACATGTTATTCAATCTCGTACTTTTTTAGATGTGATGGTGTCGCTAGTAACCATTTGACAGAGCCTGCGTATCACCCAAGCACCAATGAGCTGATGCTGGCACACACCTGTTACCAAGGAGATCCTTCTTTTGCCACAAGTTTAACTCTGACATGTTTGTCAGCAATCTGTTTATGTACATACCCTCTCGTGTGTGAGCCACCCGCCTTTAACACTATTGAGAGCGCGTATTCGTACATCGTATTCTTATACGATGAATGGTTTTCATTTACTTCAACAACAACAACCTTCTTCAACAAAGATTAATATATGCAACAAATGGGCGGCATGTGTGTGTGTGTGTCAAAAGCATATATTGTGCTACCGTATACAAGGATACATCTCGTTTCCAGGTGGGATAAAAGGGGAAAAGCCTAAAGTGGATGGCGGTGATCTGAGACAAAAGATGGGAAATAAAGTTAGAATGATCCGTGGGGTCCTTGTTCAGGATGCAAATAAACTCACAAGCAAGGGAGCTATGAACCATGGAGAGAGAGATGTGTGAATGTAACACAAAGATGTAGCGCAACTCATGGATGATGTTTGGGCCTCGGAAATGTTAAACGTCATGGCGGAAAGCCTTCCGACGACGTGTCTCGAGTAAGTTGACGGGTTGCATTTTCTCTTTTATAGGATTCATCAAGCATGGATGTTCTATTCTCCACCTCATGTCATCGTTTTTGGTGAGTATATGTATGCTTGTTGATGTGTCGTGAACAAAGAAATGGGATTGTAGCAGAAACACGGCTGCATGATCTTACGTGCTCTTTCAAGCTTGTTTCAAAATCCAAAATTTGTTTATCTTCTTTAGTACATGACAAGCTGCACAAAATGGATACAATTGATTGATTACTCACTATCCTCACAACGCATCAACATACCCCACAGCGAGGGTATATAAGCATCATCTTGCATGCACACACACCGTTTACCCCACAATTCTTGATTTTAACCACACAACCCTTCAAAAGTCATGCACAGTCTCGTGAACCCTAGCCCAACATCCAACGTTCAGCCCATCAATTTATCGGGTGGCCAATGGTAAGCATGACCAAGCATGGTTCTTTTTTCTTCTTCTCATACAAAGGTTGACTTCCTTGTCATTGTTACGTACGGCATGAAATAGCACTCATTGTGGCCAGGTAAGACAAAGAAAACCTCACCCATTTCGGTCTCCTCATTAACATGATGAATGTATATAGTATGGGCATTCTCGTGGCACTTGTGGACTACTTAGGCCCAAGTAACAACATCCTTCTCCTCCTCCTCAAAATGCTGTTTGTTGTTTTGTTCGCTATGCTTGTTTCTCCCAAGCCTTTCGTTTCCCTGGTATATCCCATCCGCCACCACCAATACCGACAACAACATCACCCCACATAATGCCCGTCGATTTGTATGTTTACCTAATTTTGTTTACCAACACCCACTGTGCTTTGTACATATATCCACTTTTTTTCCATCACAGTCAAAACCCTGCTTTATGTATGATTTTCTCTTCTTTTTTCCTTTTGCAACCTTTAGTCTTCCATGGATGACGATAAAAGTAATAAAACTTGTACTATGTATGAAATGATGACTCGTTTTAGATCAACTCAAAGTACCGCTTGAGCTCATAATCGGTCACAGCACATTGGTATAGGTTCCATTCATGTTTGCGGCTCACAATGTAATGGTCCACAAATGCGTCACCAAGCACTTTACGAGCAATTGAATCTTGTTCACCCATAGCAATGACGGCCTCTTGCAAATTTCGTGCGAGGCGTGCTCCACCTGCCGATGCCTTTTCTTTGCCATGATCCAGGGGTGGAACAGGTACGGTTTGCTTTGTCTTGATACCCCAATGACCTGCTTTAAGGATGGCTGCCATAGCAAGAGGAGGGTTTACATCAGCTCCTGGAACACGCTACAAGAATAAAAAAGATGCATGCATGAGATTACATACATAGATGATATCAAATCCCACATTACGTACCACTTCCAGACGTGTCGCATTAGGTAATGCCGAAGGAGGAACAATAACTCGGATGGCACCCATACGGTTTTCAATACCCCAACTCACGGTGACAGGTGCCCATTGATTCTCCACCAATCGTTTGTAGCTATATACATTGTATGCATGTATCAACAACAAGAGGCTCCCTCTTTTTTACCCAATCCCTTACCTGTTGACGGTGGGTGCCAAGACGGCAAGGATGCTAGGAAGAGCACGCAAGACACCAGCCAAAAAGTGTACCATGGTGTTACTCATTTCAGGATGGATGTCTGATGCATCTGATGCATCACGTGGCGTAAACAGGTTTCGTCCTTGCTCATCTTTGAGACTAATGTGCATATGACCGGAGCATCCCATATGGTTCTGATCAGGCTTGGCCATAAAGGTAGCCATCAAGCCATGCTGCAGGGCGATTTGTTTCATGGATGTCTTTAAGAGAGCAGCACGATCACCCGCCTCACTTGCATTTCGGTATGCCACAGCCGCCTCATAGATACCAGGTCCCATTTCAGTGTGCCATGCTTCCAATTCAATATTGAACTCACGTAACCAGTCATATGCATGATAGTAAAACTCTTGGTTTTGTGTGGGGCGCAAAAAGGAAAAGCCAAAGTTGCCCAATGTCAAGGGCGTACGGTTCACAAATCCCTTGGTTGCCAACGTCTCGGGCGTTTCTATAGATTCAAGTTAGACTTTGTACATAAAACAACCACGAAGCGCTTTTTTACCTTTGAAGCAGAAAAACTCGAGCTCAATGCCAATAAAAGGTGTACAGCCCAATTCTTGTTGAAATCCTTTCTCAGCATCACGTACCAAGCCGCGTGGACTGCAAAAAATAGGTTCCTTGGTTCGAGGATGGTATACATCCACCAAAAAGAAAGGCGTGTTGTTCTCCCAAGGGATACGTCGGAATGATTTAAGATCCACTTTGCATATCATATCACCAAAACCACCTTCCTCGTCATTGAATTCGGTCTTTTCAAAGTACATGCGATCCTGGAGATCCCATCCAAACAATACACTGCAAAAGCCTACAGAGAGGTGTGTGTGAGTACCACTTAGAACCATCTCGGGGCGTGTCAAGAATAGTACCAAAGCCATTGGTAAGGGTTTGCAAAAAGCGCGTCTTGTTGATCATTTTGCCACGTAACACGCAATCCATATCCAAGACAGCAATCTTGACCTTGTTATCATCTTTGAGGAGTTCCTCGATGTTGTCCAAAGTGGCAACCATAGTTGGCGAGTCTGCAGTCATGGTGGATGATGATGATGATGATGAAACCAAGAGTGGGTGAGTGAGAAAAAGAAAAAGAGCAAAAAGAGAAAAAGAAACCTATATACGTAAACCAAAGGAGCGGATGTGTGTGTGATGCAGCCCCGCACACTATAATACATACATGATATAGGCACATGTTTGTCTCTCCCCTTGTACCAAGCAGAGTATGAACCTTGCATGGGCGTTTTGGCAAAGTTGTACGAGTTACATTAATCATGCATTACCTTGCATTCGGCTTTTCCTTTGATCTCAAAAGATAATACGCCTTTTACTTTTCAAACATGAAATCCTACATGTGCATTTGCATACGTGATTTGCTTGTTCACTCATAGATGTCAATGATTTAAAAGGTACAAGAGCCAAAGGTGATGTTGGCTATGATGATGCATGTTACGTTACACAATGGGTCATTTTGGGTTTAGCTGCACAGGGTGCATGGTCCATCATCCCCTCACTTTCCTTTACCTTTTCCCCGTGATGTATATAAATACATCATTTCTGACATGCAGTGAAAAGGTTATAATCCCAGAACGAAAAAATCCATAAAATCGGACGCGTGTTACTCTCCTCAAAGTAGAACCGATACAAAGCTATCCCTCTCAGCTTCCAACATTTCTATACACACACACAAGCACGGTCTAAATGCATAAATACTTACGCAGATCATGCTGTTGCATGACGCGTCCCCAAAAGGAAAATACGGAATGACTGTATCATGTTTATATACATGGCGTACGATAATGCTATTTGTACTATGGGTTGCATGCGCCGCTATCTTTAGGTTCAACCGTCCAGCAGTCTCGTCATCATAATCAATATAGGCTCCACATGCTGATGCGTGTATCCTTTGACGCGCCTATCAACCAATGATCCACGTTGTCATCCACATTCTCTGCAAAGCCGATCGAATAAATGCTTTCACGATGATAGGATAGCACGGCCAAAGGTTTCAAGGACTTGAATGAGAATACGCGTATCCTAAACAAAATGAGATCATGAGCATCGAAAACGAAGGCGTACAAATTCAAATGTTTACCTTCCATCAAGCCCACCTGTAGCAATAATCTTGTTGTCGTGCCGAATGGCGACCGTGTTTAGCCCTGATTTTTTGGCCAATGTCTTGTTCACAACGGGTGCCTCTGGATTGCCAAACAACGCGTACTTGACGAGTTCTCTGCCGGCCGAAGTTGAGATGCCATGTTGATGATCCTTATCCACAGCCAAGTCAAGGACTATTTGGATACGCTTTTAATATCCATTCACGAAACTCATTCTCGTTTACTTACTAGGCTCTGTGTGCTCTTTCGCATCCCATAAGAGTAGTTTTTGCTCCATTTGCCATAGACAGACTGATCCATCTTCATAGCCAGCCAAACAATAAACATCGGATCCCCTTGAAAATAGCTGCACTGCCATGCATAGCCTTCGTTGTTCTTTCTCTTCCTCGCCTACACCATGGTATATCCATCGATCCTTTTCCAAGCAATACACGTCGATCTATCATAGGAAGGATGAATGTTAGCAAAAGAGGTCAACCTTCTTTGCTAAGTTGGATTTACGTTTGTAGTATCGCCTCGAAAGGGAAGTGCAACCAGCGTGTCACCTGAAAAAAGTGATGCATTAATCACCTTGTGGCAAATCCCATGTGATCTTCTTTTTTTACCTTGATGCTTGCAAAGAGATAAGCGACAAAAGTTTAGAGATACGTAGGGTATAGATTGCAGCAACTCCTTGGATGAAATGCCATCGACGTCCAATAAAAGACCCCAAACATGGATCACATTGTCACGGCCTTGACTAAAAAACCACTGCATAAGCAACAATGCTTATCCATCCTTCCTATACACTACTTGCCTTATTAATCTACTGCCGTTGTCATACACCATGATATGTGTGCAGTCTTTTTCGTGTGCTTGCCACTCGAGTATGACGCGACGTGAACGCATTTTCCAAATCAACACCATGCCACTTGCATCGCTACATGGCAACCATTAGAGGACGCCTTCTTCCTGAACAACATCGGTGTGGTTGTTTTTACCTGGACGCTAGGTACTGGTCATTAGCGAAGAGTGTTGCTGCATTGACAGGAGCGGTATGTTTTCGAAAGACATAGGCTGGAGCTTGTACTGCTGCTGCTGAATTCATGTTTTGGGTGTAAAAGAACTAAAAGAAGTTGTGCAGGAATAGGATCATGACCCAGAATGGGAAAAAGCCGTGTCTTTTATTGTCTATGAAATTCTATCTTTGTTATAAATCGCCTTCTTGGCTCAACACCCATTCAACAGCGTGTTCAACATGATCGACAACGGCATTGGCTGGATACAAGGTCGAGTTACCAGGTCCACGGAAAACACCTGTACGAACAAGCACACTTGACCATCCATAGTCACTGGCTCCTTTGATATCAGCTGCTGGATTATCACCAATGGCATACACACGCTTAGGCTTTGATCCTTGCAATGACTCGAGAACACGTTCAGCATAGGCGTACGTTGTCGAATGGGGCTTGCCATAGGATGTAGATTGAAGTTGTTCTCCCGTCAAAGTATAATAAACATGTTCAATGGCGGCTTTGAATGAACCTTGACCAAGTCGTGGCACTGGGAATTCGGTGCTCCATACCTATACACTCACCTATGAGACCCTTTGCAATAACACATGCATCATCCTACTTACAACATCGTTCTATATATCAACGTGGATTAGTTTTATTGCTTGAGCTTGAGGATGCATTGCCAAACTTACATTGGAAAAGTAGACTGGGATATCTTGAATGGCAAAATCAGTCTTTTGCGTACCAACAACACCACCTTGAGAACAAATAACATCCAGCATGATTTGGATATCACGACCCCCTTTTGAAAAAGAGTAAGACAACATGGCATCTTGAATAAACCTGATCACTTACAATCACGCGAGTCATGGAACATCATTACAGCGCTGATGGGTGTCTTTGAAAAATCTGGGACATCCTGAAGATAAACCTCGTCAATGAGAGAACCCACCTTAGAGGATCACATTGAGCATTGCTTACCTCCTTGTTAGCACTATCACGATCAGCAGAGCGAAAAGGCCACACTGGAGGTTGCCAACAATGGATATCATCCGGAATGACCACATTATCAAAGCCGTACCTGATGATGAAAGCGTAAGCATGGTACACGGGACGGTGGTAGTGGGATACTTACTGCTTGGCAACTTCATAGGCTGCACGATCCTGGCCACCAACAACCAAAACGGCCTTGTCCTTATATTGTGGGACGAGAGCTTGCATAGGTGAATGCGATAAAATCACTTGCTCGGGTTGGATCTACTAGACAAATACAATGAGATGGGATCATCATGTTGCTTATTTCCTTCGTACCTCGAGATCGAGCATTTCACTGACTTGAGCCGCTTTGATAGCTTCAGTAACACCTCCACCATTGGTAAGCAAAACAAATGGCACTCGTCTTTAAAACATCATTCCATTAGAACGCGCCCGCCTACTATTGCCTAGCAACAAACTCACCTTCCACTTGGATTATCCCCATTAAGCATCTGCAAAGCTCTAGCATACCGTGTTAAAGTAAAGAAAAAGAATGCACAAATAAAATCCATACTTTTTGGCCTGAGGAATGGTGCGTTTTCCCTAAGGAGAGAGAGTATGGGATCCATGTAAGGCTACATAGTGACGTTCCTGTGTGTGGGGGGGGGTACGTACCTTGACAAGCACGCCGTCAATGTCGAAAGCAAAAGCGTAATCAGCTGCATTGCCTTGTTGTCTCGGAGCAATGGTAGAGAATGAGCGTGTTGCCCGAGTGCAGAGCCTGTTCAAGCTGAACATGTCAACGATTCGTTATTGTTATGAAATGTAGTAGTGAAGAGGGAAGCGAAGAATTCATATGCAGCCAATGAGTGCCAACCACAGCAAATTCATATTAGTCACGTGATCCCCGCCTACTATATATTTGATCCTCAACAATGTTAATGCTCGATACATGGATGGTATAAAAAGACGTTTACTAGGTCGATTGATGTATACGATGAAGCTGGGCATTCAACATAACCTGCATTGCAGGTTACTATATATCATACGACAATGTAAAGGATGCCCATCTTCAAAAAGCAACTCCACCACGCAATTTTCCACCATCAGGGACCGGCATACAGCCATTGGAAGCTACATACAAAAGACATCAGATACAAATGAGAACGAATCAACTTGGAATAATGATGCAACTTACCAACATCCCATTTACATGCATGCTCTTCACACGTAGCTTGTACTTTGATAGCCGTACAGCTTTCTCCTACATCGAAACCTCTAATAGCATTTGCTGTAGCAATAATGGCAGCAGTGGCAAGGACTAGAGCAGAGAACTTCATTGAAAGTACTGTGGGATAGTGATGATACGTTGTTGTTTATGTATGGAAGAACATCAACGTTGCTCATTTATATATACTCACAGCTTCTTTCCGGTAACCTTTTCTTTTTAGATTGGGGACTCTATACACCACAATACGCTAACCGTGAAAGATCAACATTACGTAGTATCCCAAACCATATACAAAAACAAGAACTGCTTAAGAGCACAAGCGCGCGCGGTGTTGCCTCCGGATATTGATATATGCACACAACACACCCCTTGGCGGAGGAGATGGCGACGAAATCGCATGCAGCTATCGTTTTCATGTACCAAAGTTGACCACTGCCAACAAGCATTGACAAAAGTCACATCCATAAACCATATAGGCCAAATGAAAGTAGCAAAGAGGTACCCACTCTTTGATCCATGCTCCATCAAAAGTTGCTAGGATACGGTATCCGTGGAAGGATGAATGCTCGCCTTTTTAAATGATGGCGTAATTAGCGTTTGATGCAGGTTTTGGTGTACGTCTTGTGTGTGGTACAGTAGTATACTTCTCGCTGATGCAGGTGTGCCTACATTATGCATACGTGGCGAATGCATATCAAATAGAACGTGTCCATTTTATGATTCGTGAATTCAATGTTCGTCGATACTCGCTCATGATGAAGAAAAAACGACGCTTCTTGTTGTATTATGGATTACAAAGTTGTTCTTTGAAGAGGTGCTTGTGGATATCCATATACCTAGATTCGATATCACTTGCTTCTCGAAGGATTCTTTGCTTTTGCATATCCTGAAACCTACTTTGCAGATGGAAACTAGTTAATGCTTTTTCTCCTTTGGCGCTATTGTGGCAGAGTGTGCTCTCATCTAACAAGGTAAGGTCATTATCGGTAAGCAACAACTGTGTAAACCGGCCAACGTTGATTTACATCGCGTCGCAAAACAAGACTAGATCACTATACCTGTAATGAAGTTATCGGCGCTACTCGTTGCCATGGCTACCGATATACTTGCCACAGCCAATGCGGTTGACTACTGTACTCCCGATTTATGACACATACTACACATTAAAAAAACGGAGAAACGTTAATTACGGCCATTTGAGAAGATGCTGGTCATCACATATACCTAATACGCTGCGACAGATACAGAGCATGTAAAAGAACGCATTCATTTTCGTTGCTGTCGTCTTCCTTTAGAATGCATGTATTCCATTATGTAACGATATTGTTGCTTGTTTGATGTGGTCCAAGTTATCCACTATGCATCAATTCTTACAAGAGATGATGGCTGCATATGAGGTTTGTCATCTGTCCTTTGCAGAGGTGCTTTCGGAGATCGACATCTCGAGTTAATACATACCACCAAGCTCCTTGAAGGGGTATTTGTATATCGTAGAGCACGGATGTACATGATGCTGCTGCCTCCTACCGGCCATAGTTGTGGCAAAAGATCTCACCTTAAAGTTAAGACTTCCAAGAAGCAGTGAGTGTATATAAATGAGCAGCATCCATATTACCCCTCAAAGTCAACAACAACAACTCTACATACTTTCCAATGAAGTTCGCTGTACTTGTTCTTGCTATTGCCACTATCCTTGCTACAACCAACGCCTCAACAAAGCTCGCTCCAGGAGAACAGTGTTTCTCTTTCGAAACCTCGTCTGAGTGTGATGAAATCACTGATTGTGATTTTGATTATCGAAAGTTGTGTGATTACGATGTTGTTGTTATCGCTGCACTGTATCTGACCTCTTTTATAATAGTCCGCAAAGTGTGTGAGGAGGTTTCCGATCTTATCGATTAGAAAAACTATAAACTGCAAATGATCATTTCGTTGTCTATTCTTACACAAATGACTGATATTCACGTCTGCTTGAGTAATGAGGAAACATGTGATGACGTGGATGAGCATAGTACTCGTACTACAACCATATTTCAATCCAACTAGCAACAGCATGATGAATCCTCCTTTGGATAACAATGCTGGTGGATGACCACCATAATCATTCGGGGTTAATAAGGAAGTAGTAGTAGGATGTTGGTGACCTTTTAAGTACACTATCATTCATAGATACACCTTGAGTCATATGATTCATCAATGCTTTATTATCATGAATGCCATGGTATGCTTTTAATATGATACAGATAGTATTACGTCTGTGAATGTGGCACATCTATCGAATGACAATGCTACTGGTGTGTATGCATGATAAATGGGATCACCGACACCAAAGCTGGGTTGTTGGTTCTTGCTCTTTCCCAAAAGCGATCATGGCTGCCAGAAAGCGTTCCGCATTGCAAGCCTACTTGTCACAACAATACATCGACTTTGATCTTGACCATCCTACGCAACGACTCAACTCCTTGTACGCGGATTTTTCCAAGCTGCTTGTGTTGAACCCATATGGATACAATGCCAACGTGAGCTACTGGCGATCCGTCATTCTCGACTGCAACGCGCATGGAGTGTTGGGAAACGCCGATTATCGACTCGCCTTTGATATGAATGAGCTTGGAAGTCATTTTCTACGACCTGGTCTCGGCAAACCGCTTGCATTATCTTGTGTTGTGGTAAGACTCACTCGAGTGGGTGGATGATGGGTGTGCAGTAATAAGACTCTGATCCACCATCATAATAGAATAGCATGGTGGAAAACAAGGAGCTCGTGACCTTGGGCGAGTTTATGGCGATGTATCAGCTACCCAATGAGACATCCTCATCGACATGGTGGTGGTCTTCGATCAGCCAGTGGTTATGGTCAAGGAGTAATGGCAACTCAACATCATCTGAAACCTATATTGTTATGCCGACGCTCAAGAGCATTGCCAAGCATATCGTACAATCCTATGCCAATCAGACAATCACCCACGCTACCACCAGTTTGATGACATTACCTGATTTTCGAGCACATTATGGTCAATTGGACAACATCGATTTGACGGATTCGGATATTTGGTTACTCCTTCGATACCTCAATGCGGAAATGGGTGTGGCGGTTGCTGACAACGTCAAGGGATATGGAACGCAATACGTTGTTGTCAAGTTTCCAGCCAAGGATGAAAAGGCCGAGATTACACAGCATGATCGTGCATTGGTGAGCATGAAAACAACATGTCATGCACTCAAGGTGCAGGTGGATGAATTACAATCCAAAGCGGAAGAGTAAGTTGAAAGAGGGAAAGGGATCGGATGGGTAATAGAGACTCACTTATGGGTAGGCTAGCAACGATGGCCCATGAGCATTATAGAGCGAAGCGAAAAGCACAAGCATTGTATGCTCACAAGCGAAAGAAGCATATCATGGAGATCTTGGACAGGAGGTTACGATCGTTGGAGACCATGGAAATGATGTTACTCAAAATAGAAACGTCCCAGAATGATCTTCAGGTAGGTGAATGGATGGGTGGCAGGCAGGGTTTTATACATGGATTAACTTTTTTGTTACAGGTGGTACGAGCTTTCAATATGGGAGCGGATGCACTTCAAAGTATCCTTAGCAAAGAAGACTTATCCTTGGCAACGGTGGATGAAGCCATGTTCAAGGTGCAAAAGGCGTTTGAAGATCAAAAGGAAGTGGAGGATGCTATTGTGATGGGCACTGAAGAAGCCAACAATCGAGTACCTGAATTGGATGATGATGAATTAGAAAAGGAACTTGAGGATTTGCAGAGGGAAGAAATGGCAGCACAACAACAGCAACAACAACTATTATCATCATCACCATCACGACCCCCCTTACGACAAGTGACACAATCTGCACCGCCGCCTGATCGATCCGAATCCGAGCTTGCAAGGATCAATAACCTCTTTCAACAATTAAGAAAAACCGATACCCCACCTTCCACTACCCCTCGCTTACAACAACCATCACAACCACAACAACACGAGTATAAAATGTTAGCTGAATGAATGATGCCCTTGTCGGTTCTTTGATCTGCATATGTGTGTATATAATAAAACTACTGTAATACTTGTTAAATGATGTATCCAATATCATCCTTGCTTTATTGTTTCCATTTGATTCTCATTCGTCATTGCTGATATTCAAGACAATGCTATACTCAACATTCCATCAGTTTCCTCCAATACTACAAGTCAGCGCTCCCTGAAAAGTATTTCACTATGAATCCGGCCGGTTATTTAGTTTCTTTGGTCTTTTTTCTTTGTTTGCGATCATGGGAAGCTACTACGAGATTTTGGGTGTCGAGGTGACAGCAAGCGATCACGAGATCCGAAAGGTAGACTTCAAATGGGGGAAGGGAGTGCCTTGCCATTCATTATGCATGACTCATGCTGTATGTTTTTTCTTTTGTATAGGCCTACAAGAAACTGGTATATATGCAGTGGTCAACAGGAACGACTTTTTTGTTCTATATGCTGACGTATGTGTTATGATCATTAGGCTATGAAATATCATCCTGACAAGAACCCTGACGAGGGGGAACGGGTAAGTTGTCATTGTGTATATAGAGGATGGATGAAGGTGTCATTGACAACGACGACGTTTTATAGTTCAAGGAAATCTCTCATGCTTATGAAGTACTATCTGATCCACAACGACGTACGGAGTATGATCAATTTGGAGAAGAAGGACCTCGTGGTGGTGGAGGTGGATTTGGTGAAGGCATGTCAGCCGATGATCTCTTTGAACAAATGTTTGGCGGAGGATTCTTTGGTGGTGCTAGCTTTGGTGGTGGCAGCTTCGGTGGCGGTGGTGGAGCTCCTCGACGACGTAAAGGCGAGAATATGAAATACCCATTGAAGGTTTCATTGGAAGACTTGTATCTCGGCAAACGTACAAAGATGGCATTGGAAAAGAGCGTTATTTGCAACAAGTGCAATGGTCGCGGTGGCAAGACAGGTGCTGTACGTCCATGCAAAGACTGCAAAGGCCGTGGTTTCCGGGTTGCTGTGCGACAAATGGGAATGGGTCTTATGCAACAAATGCAAGTTCCTTGTGATACATGTCATAGCACAGGCGAGATTGTCAAGGATCGATGCAGACGTTGTCGTGGACGAAAGGTGGTGGATGAAAAGAAATTCTTGGATGTATACGTAGAACGTGGTATGGCTGAAGGACAACGTATTTGTATGCGTGGTGAAGGTGATCAAGAGGTAATGTATGGGGGATGCATGGATGATGGAGAGCAACAAGAGACTAATCTTTTTATGATTATTGTAGCCTGGCATAGAACCTGGAGATGTCAATTTGGTGTTGGAGCAAAAGGAACATGACGTCTTTGAGCGTAAGGGTGCTGATTTAATGTGTAACGTCAAAATCAGTCTTGGTGAAGCCTTATGTGGATTTGACCGTATTGTGGTGCGTCACCTTGATGGACGTGGTATTCGAGTTGCAAGCAAACCTGGCCAAGTGATTCAACCTGGTATGATCAAGCGTGTTCCAAATGAAGGCATGCCTATCTATAAACGCCCCGATTCGCATGGTGATCTTTATATCCGCTTCGAAGTCGAATTCCCATCGGATGGATTTGCTGCCACAGAACAACTTGCCTCGCTTCGTAACGTTTTCCCACCTTCCACAGCCGCTGCAATGACTGAAGATCAATTCGATATTGTGGATGAATGTGGTTTAATGACTGCCGACTTATCAGCTTATGGATCTACTGGTTATTCTCGACAAGCTTATGATGAAGATGATAGCGATGAAGAAGAACGTGGTGGTCCTGGAGTTAGCTGTGCACAGCAATAATTCCCCTTTCCTCTCTCCAATTTACATTATATTCCATCTCTCTCTTCTCTTTTCTTTCCCCCATTGTATGTATCCATTCATCAATGATTTGTGTGTATTTTAATACAGCAACCTTGTCTCTGCTTTAATCTTGGGACAACATTCCGCCTGATTTTCGCCCGCTCATTGTTTTCTTCTTTGGTGCAGAGCCGACCAGTTTCACTTGCTCCAATGTCAACACGCATTGCTCACATTGTCCAAAGGGGTACCACCACTTTGGCTATCACTCGACAACGATCCTTACAACCCACCCTACGCTTTGCATCGCTACGACGACAACGACTCCATGCCAGCTGTCAGATTAAAAGCAAGCAACATGAGCCTTCTATGGTTGGATACAGAGACAGCGATCGCTTCCATGGCAACTATCCACAACGCACTATAAAGTGTGGTCACCTTGGTGTGAAGAACGAAGGCGAACGTGTTGTATTGAGTGGATGGGTACAAACGCCCAGGTACACATTGAAGAGGGAAGGATCACGTGGCCATGAAGATTGACAATGCATTACTATCATTAGAGCCATGTCTCAGGATCTCATCTTCATTCCTATCCGAGATGCTACTGGTACTACACAACTTGTTTTTCGATCGGGTGATTCACAACTTCGAGCTGATATCCAAAAGTTGACTACCGAGAGCGTGATTTGTGCTGAAGGCATTGTACGCAAACGCCCTGAAGAGATGATCAACAAGCAGCAGAGCACAGGCGCCATCGAAGTAGAACTTGACAAGATTTATTGCTTGAATCCAGCATCGACATCTTTACCCTTTTGGCCATCACAACCATTAAAGAACCTGGTAAGACGACTTCATCATCACCCAAAAGATGAGATGGGATGGGATGATTCATCCAATTTATTTAGCCAAATGAAGAAGTGCGTTTACGATACCGCTATTTGGATTTACGTCGACCTGAGCTTCAGAACAATATCCGCCTTCGATCCAAAGTCGCCAATACAGTACGCCAATGCTTGATAGACAATGGTAAATGTCCTTTGTTATCATACAACAACAATGAAATCTGATTGTGGTGATGGTTTTAGACTTTGTCGAGATTGAAACCCCCACCCTTTTCAAGTCTACCCCTGAAGGTGCTCGAGAATACATCGTTCCAACACGCAAGAAAGGCGCATTTTATGCATTACCACAAAGCCCACAACAACACAAGCAAATGCTGATGGCTGCTGGTTTTGATCGCTATTTTCAAATTGCTCGGTGTTTTCGAGACGAGGATCTTCGAGCGGATCGACAGCCCGAATTTACACAGGTATGAGTGTGTACTACCACGAAAAGGAACGTGTACAATCAGCTGACCCTTTGGTTAGATAGATTTAGAAATGTCCTTTGTTACTCCACGGGATATCCAAAGCATTGTACAAGGTTTCATCACTCGGATTTGGGATAAGGCACTTGGCATCAAATTGGATGATTCTACCTTCCGCCACATGACCTATCATGAAGCCATGACCAAGGTAGGAAAAGAAAGAGGAGTATTTTAATCGCCCTATACTAAAAACGGTGATGATAGTATGGCTCGGACAAGCCCGATGTGCGCTTTGATATGCAGGCAAGTATCATGCAATGCATCATGTAAATGTGTATGTATATGTGGCTAAAGAAGCAGCGTGTATGTGGCGTACACAATAGATCAAGGATATTGGCAGCTACTTGCCCGATATGGTTGACAAGAACTCGGTCTTGGATTGCTTGGTTGTCAAAAAGGGTGCTGCTTCTTTGACAGGTGGAACGCTCAAGGCGATGCAAAAGGAACTGGAACTTGCTGATGAAAAGGTAAAAGTCCCCCCCCTTTGTAGCACATGGGATATTATCTTGATATTGACCACACATACACTTATTATGTAGGACTTTGCATTTGTCAAGATCAATGAAAACAATATCCACTCATGGCCATCCAAATGTGGAAAGCTAAAGCATTCGAGCCACGCTCAACAAGCAAGTGCCATGAATACCGAGTTGGGGATTGATATTGGTGATTTGGTTTTGGTTCACAAACGTGAGCAATACCTCTATGTAAGTTCCTCAAAGGAAAGGTGGGGGGAAACAAAGGCACAACGACTCATTATGGGAATTAGGGTGGCAATACATTGATGGGACGTGTTCGGTTACACTTGGCCGGTGTTTTGCAAGACCTTGGTGTCATGAAGCTGGATCCCAACGCATACAAGTTTTTATGGATCGAATCATTCCCCCTATTCACCCCAGACGAACAAGGCATTCGCACTTGGCAAGCCACCCATCATCCTTTTACTGCACCCTTTGATGAAGATATCACGTTATTGGCTACCGATCCCGCCAAGGTGCGCGGCCAACATTATGATTTGGTGCTCAATGGTATGGAAATTGGTGGCGGCTCCATCCGTATCCATTCCCCTGTCATGCAAAACTTTATCTTTGATAAAGTACTTCAGGTACATACGAAATTGGATGATTCTGCAATTGTATTTTTAACTTTTTTATATATAGTTGGAAAGACATGAATACGAACGATTCGATCACTTGATTGATGCATTAAGTGCAGGCTGTCCTCCTCATGGTGGCATTGCTCTTGGTAAGAAGGAAGCATGAAAATAGGTTGTCATGGCAATATTGATAGGATTGTGTATCTAGGTTTTGATCGATTAATGTCCATCCTTTGTCACGCATCCTCTATCCGTGATGTGATCGCTTTCCCCAAGGCTGCTGGTGGTAAAGACCTGGTTGTCAATAGCCCATCGGAAGTCACTCCCGCTCAATTGAATGAATATGGCTTAAAGTTAGCTGATAAAGAATAAAATGGTAATACACGTGCGCACACACTTATTTTAAATGGTTGCCAAGAGAGAGAGAGATGGATAGTAGTACTAGTCATTTGGTATTAGCCAAGAGAAAGAAGCTGAGTGAGTGATCAAAACACAACCGGGGCCGAATTTGCGGATTGCTAGAGATACGACAGAATTATAGATAGACTCCTGCATCATGGGCTTTCTTTTGGGACACGAGATTGGATTGGATTTCTTGGCAAGGTAAAAGTGTGTGGGACACCATCATGTAAGGGGATGGGGGAGGAGGAGGAGGAGGGGACCAAAGTGTGCACACAACAAAACCAAGGTGGGGGAAAAAAGAGAGGTTGGATAGTGAGATGATGCAGATCAATGCATTGCCTAAACCAGGCTATTGTTGTCGAGCCGTGTGCTACAGCACGCCACATGCAGCCTTGCATTCGTTTCGGGCTTTGCTCTCTCTTTCCCTTTTCTCTCTCTCTCTCGCTCTCTCGGCACTTGTTCTTTCTTTTTCTACTCAGCACAAATCTTTTCCCTTTTCCTTTTCCTTTCACTTTTTATATACTTTATCCTGTCTGCATATCATTTACATATGTTGTCCGTTAACCGGTTAATGGAAAACACCTTCCTCCTCACAACCGGTGCCTTGTCACTCGTAAGTAGAAAACTTACCCAATGCCCACCTATCTCTTTTGCCACGTACATGAGGTCCGCGTAACAAGCCAAAAACCAGTTTTGACTCACTGCAACGTTTCATATAGTGTGCATGGGTGATTGCATTTGGTGGTGTTTGTGCCTTCCGTGCATTGCCAAATGTTGGCTATTGGATTATTGTTTACGAATTGTTTTTGACTCTTGGCATTCTCTTTGTGTTCATGTCTGGCACTTTTCTTCATTACAGAATGGCTGTAAGTGTATACCAAATTATGTGTAACATGGGTTGGATCATTCGCTCCTAATTCGAGAACCTCGTCCTTTTAGTTGTTGACATTGCTTGCTATTAGCATTGCTCTTCTTCATGGCCAAATCGATTACGTGCTTCCTATTGAAAGATTTGATTCTCGTTTCATTGATCAAGGTGGTGCTGCCGCTGTGGGTGCAGGATACATCATTATGATTATTATTCAGGTAACACACATAAAGGACAACGAGACGTTGTTGTTGTAGTAGTAGTACTGATCCGGGTAATTCGCGTTTCAGTTCCTGTGGGTGTTCGTTTTTGGCAGTGAGCCCAACAGCTACCTTGGACAATTTGGTCATGGATGGACCGCCATGAACAACAGCGTTGAACATCATCACGTCGATAAGGCACCTGCCACAACAACAGCAGCAGCAGTAGCAGCCCATCCTCCTCAGCAATATGAAATGGGTGATAAGACCATTGTGCCTTCCCCTGGTGCATACAATGAATATCCTCCCAACAGTGCTGCCACGCCACACCCTGCTGCAGCTTCATCCACCACCCCAGTGTCCCCAGCTGGACCTGCTAGCTATCCTATTCAAGTTGAAGCATTGCATGATTGTAAGTCTACACGCGTAGTAGTAAAAAAAAGAGATGACTAACATGGCTTGTGATCGATCTTAGATAAAGCAAGCCCAGATGATCCAACAGAATTGAGCTTTAAGAAGGGCGACATTCTTCACGTGGTGGAGCGTAAAGGAAATTGGTGGCAAGCACGTAATAGCGAAGGTGCCACTGGTATCATCCCTAGCAACTATGTAAGTGTTTGACATGAATGGTTCTCGTGTGCTTGTGTGCTAACATGGTATACCTTTTAGTTTGCCCCATAATGGTTGATCATCCTCTTTTCTCACTCTTACAACCTTTTACACCTTATATTTATATATACTCTTGCATCACCCTCTATCGCAAACCATACAAAGTCAATGTTGTTGCTTTTTGCATTAGTTTCCTTTCTCACCTTTTCCCTGTTAAATCTATACTGTTACGCTATTAAACCTTATTAACAAAAAAGACGATCCATGTCAACATCACAACAATGCTAAAATACGGAAAGCACAGACACTTGTTGCTTGGCAGAAACAGCCATGTGGCTACAACACCCGGTCTTGGGCATGTGATGGTGATTCGCCACGTGGTAGACAAGAGCATTAAGAAGCACCGTGTCACCATCATCATCCATGTTCAAATCTTTGCCATCATCTGTGTTTATGATCATAAAGGCATGTTACCGACGTCTGAGATATGTTTGTAACACAAAAAGTCCTTATTTATATATATTTATATTTTCATTTTTCCTTTGGGGAGGGGAGCGGGCATTAGACAACATGATGTATATAATATAAAACTCTATAACAATGATAATGATGGGTGGGTATAATAGAGGCCGAGATGTTAAGCAGCAGCACAGGTGGAATCATTCGAATCAACATAATCCGGAAACGAGACATAGGTCTTTTCAAAGGGAGAAAGCCTTGCATTGGCCCATTCAACGAATGCGTCCATGTCGTCATTGTTGTTGTTTTCGTTGTTGTTGGTAGTGGCTGATTGAAAAGGAATGTCGGTAAATGGATACTTTAGGGCGCTAATCCATTGCACAAGCACGTCTCGTATTGAATGATCCATGGTTGGCGATTGGAAAGAGGGCAAAGCTTGAAAGGAAAGGCGATGGTGGTGGTGGTAATGTGGGTACGAGCAATAAAAGAGCAAAAGATGAGAAATTACTACAAGCCTGAGTGACTAAAAAAGAAATTGGGAGGGAGGGACGTGATAATAATGCGGGGCACCCAGCCTAGTAATAACGTAACCATCAACTCGGGGCCCATGATCGGGTATATATATCGGCGTTGGGAAGGATCACTTTTCACGTACACAGTCACAGAATCATGTATATGGGTTCAAGAAGTAATATTAAGCACGAAAAAAAATCAATCGGAGGAGAGAAGAAAGGAACATGGTAAACTAGAGCAGAGAGAGAGAGGGATAAGTGTAATGCGAGAGTGTGTGGAGTTGTGGTGGTGTATGTGAGATTATGCGGGCTGATGGGAAAGCTTAGAAAGCCTTCTTGCTCAATTTCAGGGACATCTTTTGGACGATTTCTAGGGTGCTCAACACCTCCATGGTTCCCTTCAAGAACGAGGTGTCGTGGTAACTAATGTTGTACTTTTTGCAAAGCGATTTGACCATAGGCTTGACCTTGGAAAGGCTATGTCTCGGCATACTCGGGAATACCTAAAAGTACATCGATAAGTATACTACGTATTACATTTTCTTTTCATGTGAGATTACTTACATGGTGCTCGATTTGGTAGTTGAGTCCTCCCATAAACCAATCGCCCATGGGACCCATTGATACATCACGACCAGTAATAACTTGGATCTCGTAGAATTCCATATTCTCAGCCTTCTCTTGGCTGATGACGGGCATACCATTATGATTCAAGGCGAACACAAGGGCCAACAAATAGCCGGTGGTGGTTTGGCTGACAAGGAAAAAGAGAAGCATGTTGCGAATGTTATCGATCCAAGCAATGGTAGCAGCTGTAAAGATCAACCAGTGTGCAATGAGAGAGCCCGATTCAAAGACCGTGAGACGCTTGGATTTGCTGAGAGAGCCTTCGTTGAGGATATACAACAAGGATTGAATGGCCCATGACAAACGTGCAAATGCAAGGATGAAAAAGAAGTAGCGAGTTTGATAGGGCAAGACGCTTTCAGCAAAGAAGCGAGACATGGTACCAGGTTCAGCATCAAGGGATCCATAATAGTTGGCGGAAGCGAATTCATCCCAAAGGAGAACAGGGGCAGTGTCAATATCGGGATCATGGCCATGTACATTGGTGCTTGCGTGATGCGTGTTGTGCTTGTTTTTCCACCACGATAATGAAAAGCCTTGACAAAAGTCACCCAAAAAGACCACCATGACATCGTTCCATTGTCGATCGCCAAAGCATTGATGATGTCCAAAGTCATGGGCCAACCAACCACATTGTTGCCAAAAGAGACCCACCAGCAGACCAGCTGCAATTACCGCCAGGGTCGAAGTCTTGCCCCATAGATACAAAATGACAAAAGCAGCTGCACATAGACCCAATGTGGAGACAACCTTGTAAGTATAAAACAAGCCGCTAGCGTTAAAGTAGCCTTCTCGCTTAAGCCGATCACGGAGTTCACGCATTTCAGTGGCGAAAGCAGCCGAGTTGGCGTTAGGTCCATCCGTTTGTTGTTGTTCATGATCGGATGGCAGCTGTTGTTGCTCTTCTAAATCACCGGCATAATAGTTGGCCAAGATCTCATAAGCAGATTCGGGATGCATGGCATGAAAGACATCTAAAACCCCCAAAAGAAATCATACGACAATGTTAGTAAGCCCAAAAAAGTGATCGCCCTTCTACCTCCTCCCCCGCACAAACACACATACCCGAAGCATCTTTGCCCACATGAGTCATCAATACAGCAGCACCACCAGGATGATCCTCCACAAATTCGGTCACATCATACAACTTGTTATCAATGATGATGAACTTTCGGGCGTCGGGTTTGCCGTCCCTGAAATCTTGGGTCATCACTGCCAACTCTTGCCGTGAAATAACTTGTTTCCCTTCTACATAGATGTCATGTGTGAATATCCAATCATGAATACGTTTACGAGAACCAACTTACCAACCATGCTCATCTCGTTCCAGATCGTGAATGAGGGGAGTGAGAGAGAGGAAAATAGAGAAAAAAAAGAGAGCAAATAAATGGTACAACCGGCGTGAAACCTATCACTAAAAGGGAAACAGCGAATTACAAAAAGCCACTCAAGTGCGCGCTGTGTGCAAGAGAGCATCATATTTTATCCCCCCCCCCTTCCCTGACGCCTTACCGAAAACGATGATCTGGATACCTTTAATTCGTCCGGAGTAAGAGGAGTTTCTTTTTTCTTTCGGTTCTGTTTGCTATGCAACACAAATCATTTTAATACATTTGCACACACAGCATAGCAACATGGTTTCAACCCACACATCAGATGATTATATCGTATGGAGAAAACCGAGGTTCAAGTACAGTGAAACAGGTACAACAACAAGGACATGGAAAAGAGTCACAATGATATCTCCTTTGATCTACACTATGCACTCGCTGACAATGAAATCTAGCCTCGCATGAATGTGCCTGATGATGATAGGCTGTCGTAATTAGATGCACAAAAACATCAGCTGCCTGCTGCATTGGGCGTTATCAATCATAAGCGCGTGAAAATGTAAAGTGCAAAATGTGGGAAATGTGCCTTGTATTCATGCGGTAGTTTAGGAAATGGTGATGACAACAACAGATCACTGTCAAAAAGATGGATACACACACACACGCACACTTGCAGCAATGACACTGCTGCTGATGCTGCTGCTGCTGTTGTTGCAGCAATGTTGGGGTAAGTCACCACACAAGGAATCAGCTGATTTACTTTGATCTGCATCTTCTTCTTATCATCCTCCATCTTTAATGAAGCGCTTCTTGTCACTCGTGAAGAAAACCAACCACCACGATACAACCCACTACCCGCCAGCCCTGACAAAAGTGTACAAAGTCTCCCATCGCACTCTCGGGGTAGGCTCATTTGCCACTGTGAAGCTATGCACCCATCGCAAATCGGGTCAAACATTTGCTCTCAAGGTCATCAACAAGAGAGCGATTGCTGGTGCGTAAACTCAACATGTTAAGCACGTGCGTGCGTGTGGATATGTGTGTGCGTGTGTGTGTGTGTGTGTTTGTGTGATACGAATGATAACATTGAAAAACGTAGGCCGAGAACACATGCTGGATAACGAACTAGGTAATCTACACAAGCCCTATTGCTTTTGCAACGCCCCTTCGTTTGAATGCTCATTTCGAGCCGTGTAGATGTCTTGAAGCAGGTGCGTCATCCTCATATTATCTCTATGCAAGGCATGTATGAAGACAACGAAGCCGTTTACATTGTTACCGATCATGCCAAAGGTGGTGAGTTTTTCGATCGGCTTTTACGGAAAGGGAGCTACACAGAAAAGGATGCCTCCAATCTCTTACGTCAAATCTTGGAAGCCCTGGCCTATTTGCATGAGCATGATGTGAGTTTGCTTCTTGATCCCTTTACATGTCAATAAGAGGCTCATTTTGTACACTACTACTACTACTAGATCGTGCATCGTGATATCAAACCTGAAAATGTAAGGGTGCTGTTGCTTTTAGAATCACATGCTGGTGCTATCATCAAATTGATCCAGTTTTCTTCTAGCTTCTATTCCAGACATCATCACAAGACAACGGCGAGGTGGAAAAGCTGATGATTGCTGATTTTGGGTTATCGAGGATATTGAAAGAGGACCATGCTATTCTAATGACCGCTTGTGGCACACCTGGATACGTTGCACCGGAGATACTACTACGAGCTGGACATGGCACAGCTGTCGATCTGTGGAGTGTTGGGGTGATCATGGTAAGAAGCATATAGTATGAGTAGGTTCGTCGCCGTCAATAACAAGCATACCATAGTACACAATGTTGAGTGGCTATCCACCATTTTGGCAACCAGGTTGGATTCAAAGTTATGACAACAGATGGATGAACGTGTGTTATTGACATTCTACCTATAAAAGATGAGGCAGCATTATTCGATTCCATTATCAAGGGCGAGTACCAATTCGATGAGCAGTATTGGGGTCATATTTCAGATGCAGGTACGGTTATAGCAACGGGATGGAGACGATGTGGCTAAACCCATTATGTTATAGCCAAGGATCTGATCCAGCGATTATTACAAGTGGATCCAAGCAAACGCATTACAGCAGCTGAAGCACTATGCCATCCATGGATAGCGTATGAAGGAAACGACATGGACGAATCAACAACGTGTATGGATCGAGATATCATTATCAATGTACGACGTGGTTTCACAGCAAGTAGACAATCATTAAAGCCATCATCATAGCTTCTTTTGCATCTTTTTTTATTGTCTTTATGTAATGTTTTTTGTTGTTTGTAAATACATGCATTAGCACAAATTACAGCGGGCAAATATACACATTAGAGGCCCTTGGATGACAAAAGGTGGTGTAGGGATGGGTTGTTTTTGGGGAGGGTGATTAAGATTTGAAGGGAATGGGGTATTAGATGGGGTTGAGTAAATGTTGTACTTATACTTTCTTGAATGGATTGAAGCCACCGCGTAAGATACGGACCGTCAAGGCTATAAGGCCTGAGCCAATCATCATAACGCCACCAAAAATGATGGCACGATCATAGTGAGGGCCGTCGGGTGAGTTTTCATCAATGAGATCAGAAGCAATAGGTGAACCAAAGATACCACCAACAAGCCAAGCAAAGAATAAGAGGCCGTTGGCTGCTTCAATTTCTTCAAGACCCACCACTTGAGCCAATAAGGCTGGCACCATAGCCATGTAACCGCCACCAAAGATACCTTTTAAAAAAAAGGACGCCATGTCAGACTAGGGCTCCTTCATGACAATGGATGATGATGATAACACTTACCAAAGAGAATACCAAAGGCCCACACGGCAGGCTCTGTGTATGCGTTTAGCCAGAGTGCAAGGCATAAAATACCTGAAATGAGAATGACAAGGGCTGTCACGTTGGCTCTGCCAATGTAATCACTGCTGAGACCGCTGCCAATCTTGCCAATCACCATCACACCCGACATGATAGCACCCATGTTTGCTGATACCATTGGCTTTGCACCGATTTCGGAGGCATACGCTGTAAAGCCCATTTAGCTTGATTGTCACACCATGACGGACAAATAAAAATACTTACATGGCAAAAAGCTTGAAGGAATCTATTATAGATACATACAAGGTCAGCCTATGACACGTATTGGATGATGATGATGATCCCCCCATAGGTAGTACTTACGTTAAAGGCAAAGTTAGTGATGAATTGGACGACGAACAACAAGCAAAATTGAAAGTTTTTGAATGGCTTGAGGTTGATAATGGGAACATGCTTGTCAGGAAGGTTAAGAGGACGCACGACACAAGTACTGAAAGTGAGCAAGGCCAGAATAATGAAACCCATGATACGTAATGCCCAACGATAATCCAATGCATCAATCACAGCTTGAGCAAGGTTGCTGAAAACAAGACCACCGCAACCTGAACCAGAGAGGGCAATGCCCACACTCAAACCACGTCGCTTTGAGAACCATTGTTGAGCAGCACTGACACAAGGAAACCATACAAGAGAGGCACCCAAACCTGCCATGGCACCTTGGGTGATATACAAGTGCCAAATCTCAGTAGCCAAACTAGCCATCATGGTGGCCAAACAGCATAAAATAGTAGCAGTGCCCAAAAGCCATCTGTATCCAACACGAGCAACGAGGTAGTTGAAAAATGGACCGAGAATCACGCTCATGGCCAGCCACAGCGAACCGATCCAGGACAATGCCGTCATTTGGTTGGGGAAGACATCTTCATTGTAGTATCTGAGAAAAGTACCCCTGGAAACAAGAAACACGCGTTATTACCCTGTCAACGACTTGCCAAGTAACATAAAGGTAGGTGTCAAACAACCAAACTTACCATGTATACCAATAACCTTGGCTGTCAGGTGGCACAATAGAAAATAGGATGAGTCAAACAAATCACCGTGCATAACAACCTGTCATATGCTTACGTTGAAAAAAGGCCCTGTAAGATAGCAAGAAAAGGAAGGAAGGATTGATTAATTGGAGAAGGAATAACAAGAGATGAAATCAAAAAGGTATACACTTACACACCAGCAGCCAGCGAGCACGAGCCAAGATCGACCACCATCTGGAGGCTCGATCATACTTTTTTGAGTGGAGGCTATGCTTTCAACATCATCTCCAGGGATGTGTTGTATCTTTTCCTCATATTTCTTGGTATTATTCTCGGTATCAGCAGACATTTATATATGTGTAAGGATCAGTGTACAGTAGAAATTTTTGCTTCAACGATATGAAAGAGAAGAGAAGAGAAAGAATAAAGCTTATTGAAAGATTTGGATTCCTTTTTATCCAAGCGCGGCTTTTCCCCCCTTGTAGCAACTGCCACTTCCGCCATTCTTTTGCTTATCTCCGCAAAGTGACACATCTGATTGTGGTGTGTTACCTCCACATTAAAACATATAGACATTATCGCCATGCCAATAAAAGTTGATGGGATTACTGTAAAAGCTCGAAAGCCGACGAATAATACTGTGTGCGGTGAATGCAACCTTGTACGACCTTTTTTTTGAAAAAGACAGATCCAGTAAAAGGACAAAGGGTCATCATCACTCTCATGGGCGTACAGAAACGGTCAACTTTAACCACGTCATAGGTACCACCGTTCCGGGTGTTTATGGGATGGTCGATGTTCCTATTTTGTGTTACATGCCCACCCATTGAAACAAAGGTCCGCATCACAAATGACGGTCTGTGGTCTCTTCCAAGAAGTATTTTCTTCGGTCACAGCAATAAGCCAAAAGCCCAGATACCTCCCTAAAATACAACGCCCCATGCAAGCAGCCTTCATTACTCCTAAAAGGAAAAGGCAATGGATAAGCTAAACAATGAATCATGGTTATTATCGCCCGCATTTGTATAAGGTCCTATTGGCAGTTTATATCCCGTAAATCAAGTTCCCATTCAGACTGCTGCAGTATAAACGTATAGATCAGAAAATTGGGGAACACGAGATACCACATGGCTGATGACAGCAAGTCCCTTCTTCTCTCACCCATTAAAGTTTTTTCTGCAGAATGTCTCATGACTTTTTACCACGTACTTTGCTTTTGCTCTTTGAGCTCATTAGTTTACATTAGGATGTTTCAGGTTTTTTTTCTCACACACTCTCTCACACACACACATTGGTACAGGAACAAATGATACGTTAGATCGGGTTGGGATTGTTAGCTAAGTCCTTTAAAGAAGTGTATATAGCGGAGCAAGCAGCAGCCGGGTCGGGCAAATAAAGCTCAGCAAGGGGAGGTCCCCGACTCGAGCTTGCCAATACCCAATCACACTTCTTGTAGAATGCGTTGGTCTCTCTCCACTCACTCTCTTATACAGCGTGGGTATCCCCAAATCTGGTGCGACGCAATGACATTACACCATCTCGCGTATATGTAAACTCGACCATTCCCACTCTTCTCTCTCTGAGGTTTTAGGTTTGTCTTGGCTTGCGTGTTTTCCGGATATTGCCAGATGCAATTATAATGTACGCTATCGCAGCGGATCGATCTTTTTGGCATCAGCCCATTTGATTGGGCCTTGAACATAAAGTTGAAGATGTTGATCATGGAAAAACACACAAAAAAGAAAACGACGCTAATCGCCATGCTTGTGTCGTATATGGTGAAAATACAATGGGACACTACCATATAATAACAATATGATAAAGAAGAGGTGTCTCATGTGGGATTCAATCTGCCAGGGTCAAGGTCACGTTATTAGAATCATGCTTTTTTCTATATTCGATTTTACCCCCTTTTCTTGAATGACGTTTTCAATAAATGGAAGGCCAAAGACCTTTTGTAATCAAACAACCTAAGAGATGCTCATCCCTTCTATTACCAACGAGAGCCATGATAGCTTCATTGATTCAAAACGATACATGAAGAGGACATCACGTGAGTACTAGGTGGCACAGTAAAACCAAGCTTTTGTAATAGCAAACATCATCTTTATTATAGTGGATACAAAAACTGGTACTAGATACGAGCCATGCTTGGATTTCCAAATGCTCCAATAATGCGATGTTTCATCTCGGAACCACTCACAGCATGAGGGATCATCATGGATCATCATCCACCCCACTTTTTTCAATCACAGAAGGTAAGTATAAGGATGATGCGTATTGTTTTATTAGGAGGAGGAGGATGTGGATGATGGCTCTGTATTAATGGTAGTTGATGTATGATTGATGCCTTTTGCTTGCTTTTGTCGATGGAGCTGTTCAAGGACTGCACGTGTTAGAGATGAGTTACCGCGGCCAGTGGTCTTTACTTCGGGAGGTGGAGTCATTTGTGACACAAGATAGGCTGGTGCGCCTGGCCTTGTAATAGCGACTGCCGGAGGTGGTGGTGGATAAGACCGATGAGGTTGCTGGAAATGAACTGCAGCCCACTTTGGATGTTCTCGTTCAATCGTCATGATCCGATCTTCTAAAATCCTTAATCGTTCAGGCACAGAAAACGGTGGGTCGGCGTTGGGATCAAATACGACATTCATGTGTTGTTCAATATTCTGTACTCGTTCTTTGTGCAATTGTTGATCCGTTGCCATGGCAGCACCAGTAGTCGTAGTCGATGAGGAAGATGCTTCTTGAAGACGAGAACGTGCCAAAGGACCATCTTCATTGTTTACAATATCAAACTTCATTTGAATGTTGCGATTAATTTCCCGTGCATCTGCTCGTGCGCAAGTAATGTCGCTGCTCGTAGGATCTGCTCGATTGAGAAACTCGGTACGATTGCTAGCATCCACTTCATTTTGCTTGGCTTGGATAAACGAATTAATGCGTTGTTGGATTTCTTGACGAGTAGCACGAATCTGCACTTGCTCACTATCAAGTTGTCGCATACGCTCCTCTTCTTCCTCTTCCTCATTCTCTCTTTTCCGTTTCTTGTTGTACAAAAGCTTCTGCTCATTCTCTGCAATAACGGCTGGATCAGGTGTTGCGGTGCTGCTGCTGGTGATAACCTCTTTGGCTTGTACATGTTGTTCAAGCAAGTGAAGCAATCGATCGGCCAATCGTTCGAGTACAGTGGGTAATTGTTGCAGGTGCTGTTGGGAAAGTATTACAAGCTCATTGTTGAAGCATTTCTCTGTCTCGATCAATCCAAGCTCTTGAAAAAAGTGAGAGATTTCGGTTTGCCATGAAGTGGCGGTTGTCTGTGGCGTGGTTGGCATGGTGAAGTGTGGTAAAGCAGCAAGCCCTCATATCATTTCCCGACGTTTGAGTGCAGGAAATCAAGCTATCCTCCCTCCTCCTCCTTACAAGCGCAACATCCATATACATGATGGAAGGCTTATCTTATCCATACACCCTGGTAGCTATCAGCACATTGTATTTAGCCACATCTTCCCACCACTCGTACAACAGCCGGCACGTATGCCTTATTCGACAACATGACGACACTACACTTTTCAATTCCTATTTGGTCATTGGCACTTTAGCACAAATACGGTTTAAACGGCTTATAGCATACGACTTGACATTTCAATCTTGTAACACCTTATATAATACCCCAGTTTTATACGTTTATAGCTATGTGGTCTTTTGGTTCTCATTAAAAAACCCAATTGTTTCGCTCGAGACAGCTTTTGTAGTAGCTCAAATATACGTACTATGACTTCGTATGTACAATCGAATGCTTGCTTTGCAAGGACGATTGCCGACGCATTACATGACAGCATGCAAGTGAGAAAGGCCCACCACGTTTTCTTGGCATCAAGTGATGTAGCACACGTTTCACTATAAACTAAGCTAGCTTGTTTCCCTTCCCTGAAAGTACCATTGTAAGACCGCCAAATCAGAAACTAATAATGATCCATGGTACATGAGCTGTTTCCAAGCCAACAAGCAAATCACAATCCCACGACTTCATAGTCGATTTGAGCTTTTTGAGAGCTATGAATGAACCAAAAGTCCCGTACCAATCATCTTAACAAAGCCCACATCCCAGAAATACCATCCACAATCATAAATGCAATCCTGTGTAAGGGAACTCTATTTTTCTTATGTAATGACATGCAATCGAGCTGCTCTACACTTGACGGCTCTAGTGTTTCGAATCCAAACCACGCCCTTGATGCTCCTTCCTCGACTACATGAAGAGATTCATGGGTTAATTACCGTTGTTGACTCATCCTTGTATACCACCACCAGTACCTTTGATCCATGGCTTGCAAACGTCGTATACCAGTAACCGTGCAAGCACCCAATCCTGAGCCACATCCTTCATTGAATGAAAAGCTTGCCGTTGTCAAATAGCCAATGCAATCATCATTTGGAGGGAATTTTGTTTCAACCTGAATCGAAGATACGCAAAAAGTTAGCATGAGCAAGGCGTAAGCAAGGTCTTAATTACCTTATCCACATCCATAGCATCACCATCAACCTCGTCTTCGTCCTCTATATCCATATCCGAGTCGCGTGCTTTGTTGGCCTTGGATGAACGATTGGCAAGATAGCTGGTAGAGATCTCGTTGTATTCAGCATCGCTATCGATCAAGTAAATCATGGCATTTGCTTCAGGGCGTCCACGATCCAAGTATTCAATGCGGATTTGGAGCAGAGCGTGTGACAATTGAAGTGCATCCAGTTGCATCGTAATGCCACGTTTGGCAAACATGTTGATGAAGTAATCGCGAGCTTGCATTTGAGCCTGATCATCCGTAGCAGCTGCTAGTACAAGAGATATGATTTTCTCGCCATAAAGTGTATAGTACGCAGGTCGTGATGATGATGCTTCACTTTGTGTGGTATGTGTCAAGACATCGAAGGGAGGATCAAAGGGTCTGCTAATGCCAAATTTCTCGTAATTGAAGCGTTTTGCTGGGGGTCGACGTTTCCATGCTGATTCAGATTCGTTCTTGGCCATGGTGAGCATATTGACACACGCTTTCGTTCCAACAAAGTCATGCGGGAAATTGGGTCGTTTGCTTTCAAAATGCATAGCATGAACATCTTCGTAACCAGCAGCTCGAGCACCAGCAAACATGAACGATTTCCAAAATGACAATGCGCATGCTTTTGGCATGATGATATTCCATCCTGACATCAATTCGTTTGTACAAGTCGTTTGTCGTCCACGTAAAAGTGACTCGGAAGAACCACGCTGAACAAGCAAGATTGGCATCTTGGAATCATTCTCGGTAAATTCTAGCTTGGTACCAGGTAAAAGGTGCTGCATACAAAGGGATGTTAGGATGATAAAAGACCAATGTTAAAGGAAAAAACAAACCTGCTCACGTCGCTTATTCAAAGCATGTTCACTTGGCATCGATGATTGAACCTCATTGCGAATATCGGCATCCCATATGGTTGATTGTGATATGTCCTTGGGCCATTGTGATAATAACTCTCCAAGTCGCGCCTCTTTTTCCACAGGGATGACATTGGTTTTCGGTGCTGGCTTTTGTGGAAAACTATTGGCCACCGTCAATCTCCCAATTCATGCTTTGCTATCAACAATGACTTACTCGAGGCGTGGATCTTGTACAGTGAGACCAATAACAACACCTGAAGGCAATGAGCTGGACGATCGTAAGCATCGAAGATCTCGCCATACTTGGGCTGCTTTCGCGGTTGGTGAGCTGTCCTTGCAAACATGGGTGGCTTCTTCCACGGGCTTTAGGATGATTTGCATGAGAGAAGTTGACGATGCACCTGAAAGTTCAAATACGGCAAGCTGATCCCGTTGATCCGTGATTGTGATATCTAATGCCCATGTGAGTCTCTTTTTGATCTTCCCAAGGCATACAATGCTTACCTTTGGATAAAGAGGCTTGTGCCGCTTGAAGGGATGTATATGCTTCAGCAAATGAAGATGGGTGAATCCATATCCAAAGTTTACGACGACCATCCATGTCATCCGAAGGCATCCATAAATAGGTGATTGGGCAAATGCATTGTGATGGACACCCTGTGTACTCGTATAAGAATGTATGACCCACGCGATGTCCATGATTGAAGCTATTGAAATAGTGAGCACCATGCATCCACATCTTTGTTATGCCTTGTACTTACCGTTCACTCCCAACCGATGGCAACGATACATCTGTAACGTGGTTCATCACCATCACAATATCCTGATACGATCCTTCCATTTCCAAACAGCCCATGTAAGAAGCATCGTGAATGACAGTCGTGTGTTGAAAGGCACGGTAGATGGTTCTCGCCGATTTGATATTGGGTTTTCTCGCCTATTCCAAACCGAATTAACAACATAAACTCCATGCCAGACCAGCATCAATCTTACCAAACGATACCCCCAGATGTTGTTCATTTTCATGCGTTTTGTATGCCACATGTGGGTACCGAGCCACTTATTTTCCTCTATTCACCTTTTATGAGCCATCACCATCAACACACAAAATCATCCCAATTCACTTACTCTGACGACGAAGATACTCCTGAAGAACATTATCTGCCTTTGCTTTCCGTTTGCCCTTTTTCTTTCTTCTGGCATTGGGAGGTGTATCTGCTCTCTATCATTGACATGGGTTACTCATCCAAATCCTTGCCTTCTTGTCATCTTGAAATCTACCTCTTGTGCAGCACGTGCACGTAAATGAGCAGGTAATCGGTTCAAATCATGACTTGCAGCGCGTCGACGCATATCTCGAGGGAGTGCTTGAGCCACCAAACATGTCAACGCGTTACTAAATCCACACGTTGAGCACCTTTGCTGCCTATAGATCCTTATACCACGTACCTGGCACTTCTGATAGCTGACTGCATAGTACGAACCTCATTGAGACGCGCCGCCATGTAGTCTTCGGGAGTAATAGCACCACCCACATTAGGAGAGCTCTGGCCTGTAATAGAACCCATTAGGTATGTGCATCGTTTGACATTGGGAGATCGATAACTAACTGAGTGTGTTGGCAAACTCGGATCGGGGCCCTATCCTGCGATCACTCTGCTGCTTTGCTGAATGAAGAAGAAGAAGGCCATGGTCAATGATGAGTCGCATGGGTATATGTCGTTTCGTTTACCTCTACGTTTGTCTCGACCCGCTTTTGCTGGAGACTCGTCTCGATGCCGTTTGTTACTGCCATTGTTGTTGTCGGCCATATCAAAGCAAGTGAAAAGGAAGTGAAAATGTCAAAAGGTCGCTCGTTGAAAAAACTGGCTGCCTGCTCAATTTGCATCCTTCATCCCCCAGCAGGATTCCCTAATGCGGATCCCTTGACAGTGCGTCTCTTTATTCATCATCACCCAACCCCATCCACATACTCGATCCATCATCATTCAAGATTTGCCAATTAAAGCGTGCACTGATCCACGTGGTCATAGTGGTTCATTGTCATCCTATATTCTCATTGTTGTCGCCGTCATTGTGATGTTTTGACGCTTGTAATGGATAAGTCTAAGCATGATGTTATCATGATTAACAATGGCAAGCATTTTGGCTTTCCGTGTACATAGTTACTTTCATGCCTCTTCCATCAAATAGGAACACAACGAAACACGACATTACCTACATAGCAAAGTAGCTCGCCCAATCTACTATTATTATCCACCACCATATAAAGTCGCTTTCTCATCACCATTCATCATCCTACCCAGCATTGTAATATCATTTGCATCATCCCTACTATCTTATTTTACTCCATGTGCACTATTGAAGTAACAGCGGATATCAACAACATCTCGTCTCATTTATTGACGCTCTTTAGACACATCATCACGCTGACAGCCAATCCAATAATCGGGATTAATGACTAGGTGCACGGCACACAGACTCATTTGCACACGACAAGTAGGCCCACGAACCAATCATGTGCCTGCTTCTATGTATATGGGGACATGCTACAGTAAAGGTGGTTACGTTTTCGGGCTTGTAAGGAATGAAGATATATGCATACATATCCCAATACAATAAAGAGAATCAATTGAGCTTCACGATGACTTGAGTTGTTACCAATCCAATACAATCTGCTACTGTGGCGTTAGGTATGTCTGTGCGCATCAACAACTCTATTGTTGGTTTATGCAATCCACGCGATACATCCAACTGTGATGTGGAACGATCATTGTAGTCATATACACATGCCATTATTCATACATCTTCACTATTGGACCATGTTTACCTGCGTACCTTCCAAAAGGGAATCATCATCATCATCCAATGGTGCAGCAACCTGTCAACGACGTGTGTGTGTAACCACCACGTGCAATTTCACTCAGCTCTTCGCCTTGCTGATAGTGCTCTCGACACCATCCATTCGGAAGAAGTAGATCCATCACGCTTAAAACATAGGTAAAACATGAAGGTGCCTGTATCTCTGAACTTTACAATCAAACGTGGGGTCTTTATGAGAACACACCTGCTTGGCTTGGCCAACAGCACCTTGTGTGCAAGTTTCACGTTGATCGTGGCTAATCCCAGATTTCGCCAATGTCGCCACCAGCCAAAGTGAATCGAGTCGACCTCTTGAATTTTTTTTTCGACGACGGCATTTGCGTAAATCTGGTATCGGCCACGATCGACTTCATAGTTTGACACAAGATCGCTTGCACCCCGCCGAGCAGCTTTGTTCTATTAAAGACCCCACGTTTGATTGTAAAGTTTAGAGATACAGGCGTCTTTATGTTTTACATATGCTGTATGGATGATGCTATATGAAAGGTGGGTCTTTGTTTAATGTAAAGTATCTAGACCCCGGAGAGCCAAAGATGCAGAAGGACCTCTGTGTGTAACCGAGCGGAAAAGTCCGGACTTCAGGGACGATGCATGACAGGTACGCAATCTTCATTTGCAGTACACACATTGGCAGCTAACAGCCACTTTTATGTATTCCCAACTTTTGTGCATTCTATTGCAGGTGGACAATTCTCCTGCTCCAGACATTCATTTCCATCATTCAAGTAGCTTGATCCGAGCTGATATGGTTGAGTTACGGTCGAACAAGGATTAATCAGCTGAGACATTCGAATGTATGCTGATGTATGCATTGATGTAACCTCTCTTGGACCATAGCTCAGCCAAATCAACTCGAACCAATATAATTGGATGATGGAAATAAATGTCTGCAGCAGGAGCATCGTTCCATCGTAATGGATTAGACAAAAGTTGGGATTGGGTGGAAGTGGCTGTTAGCAGGCAATACATGCCTATTCCTAAATAATCCGTAAAGTATTATACATTGACCCTTCCAATCATGCAATATGAGCTGTATTACACAAGCAGGCTCTTCTGCATCTCTGGCACTGTCATAGTCATACCACTTGACAATGAACAAAGGCCACTTCTCATATAGCATCACGCTTACAAACATAAAGGTGCCTGTATCTCCAAACTTTACAATCAAACGTGGGCTTTTTAATAGATCAACGTGCTCGGCGGGGTGAAAGCGATCTTGTGTAAAACTATGGAGTCGATCGTGGCCGATCCCAGATTTCGCAAATGTCGCCACCAGCCAAAGTGGATCGACCTCTTGAATTTTTTTCGACGACGACGAAAATATTTTTTGGCTGGTAGCGACATTGGGTGAATCTGGGATCGGCCACGATCGACTTCATAGTTTGACACAAGATCGCTTTCACCCCGCCGAGCAGCTTTGTTCTATTAAAGACCCTACGTTTGATTGTAAAGTTTAGAGATACAGGCACCTTTATGTTTTACATATGCTGTAAGCGTGTTGCTATATGAAAAGAGGTCTTTGTTCATTGTCAAGTAGTATGACTATAATAGAGCCAAAGGTGCAGAGGGGCGTGTTGTGTAACTTGAGTCAGTCAGCACGGGCGATGCATGATACTTGTACACAATTCAGGTATAGTTCCTGAAGCCAGCTAATAACCCAGTCCTCCCATCCTCCATTGTTGCCCAACCCCATGCATGTGAACGATTGTCCTGCTCCAGCCCATCATGTCCATCCTTCAACTTTCTTGATCCGGGAGGATTTGACTGAAAAATGCTCAAACACAGAAGTATCATCCAATATCAGAAAAATCATTTTGCAAAGTAATTTGTAAACTGCCAGCTAATAGCCCGTTTCTCCCATTCACCTTTGTTGCCCAATACAATGCATACAAGCGATTGTTTTGCTCCAGCCCATCATCCCCATCATTGAACTTTCTTGATTCGAGGTGACATGGTAGTATGGCAACAGTGGGTGTTGTTGGATCATTAACATGTAAAGTGTAAAATGACACACACCCTTTTGCTATACGTGAGGATCATTTCTTTATTTACGTGTGCCTATTGTCTATCGTGAGGGAGATGATGATGATGATGGGTGGATGGTGTGTTAGAGTGGATGGTTTGTGTGTGGGGTAATGTTCATGCATTTATACAAGAGGTATCCGATTTAATTCCAGTCTTTCCACTCCCACCCTATTTTGTCTCCTCCTCCCATTCTCAACTGTTGGCCCATTCAAGTATACAACTACCACCTGCCAACGAATGTCCTGCTTCAACCCATCATGTCAACCCTTCGATCGTATTGATCGGAAAGCCTTTGACTGAATGGCAAGTCCATGGCGTGTACACAGCCCTCTTGTCACTCTTCTACGACACACAAGTCCTTTGACACTAAACCTTCTCTTACACACTCCTCTACCACGACCAATCGTAACAGCATTCATTCCAGCAATTGCTATTAGCAAGGGCTTTACTCCATTGTCTCAAACCGCGTTCTTTAGTTGCAGCAACTTGCCTTACAGACTTGTTCACGTGGACAACAGATAGCCATTGTATGAAGCAGCTTTATTTACATGTAGCAACTTGGTTCAATACATACGGCTTCTTGTGGATATGGATATGGATCTGAATATTGGTTTGCTATATGGGGATGGATGGTGGTTTGGTTCCCTTGGCCCATTTGGAACGTGATGTCTATTTTGGATGACGCGCTATCAGCCATCAACTACGCCACAATACAAGTAACCTTTAGCTGGTTGAGCTGTGATGGAAAATGACCAACAGCTGGATGGAAAAGGAAGCATGTCACCCGCAATATTGGGTTTACAATGGTTATGGATGGAAGGATGCGATCAAGTGCAGTGATGAGAAGTCTTGGAATGTTGCTTTGGTTGCTTGGCGCGTCATCAATAGGAACGATGAATCATACCCTATGCATACGGCTGAAGAAGAGGATGGTTCGGATGGAATTGAGGAGAGGGCTTGTATCTTTGACGAAAGGAGGTGTTTCACAGCTATGGATGATACTGGAATAATACTCGAGCCGAAGCATACAACGCCTATTTTGCAATCATGGATGAACGGTGATCATGACGGCAGCAATCAAGTATAGGATGACACAATTGTCACTAATGGACTCTATATGTTTCGACCATATGTACCCTATTCAATTTGACTATATTGTTCCCTCATGTATCATGTAACTTCTTGATAAACATCGTCCACAATACCGTGTCTACGTGTTCTTCGACTTTTTATTGAATGAAAATTGGATTCAACATAATACTTTGGGTATCGTACGATCAGCTTAGATGTGCAAGGGGTGGATCACTTGGGTTGTTTCCTGCATTGAAAGGGGGACAGCGATTTGAAGGGTGGAAAGCGAGATATCATATTTGGTAGGGGGTTACACAGCAGGTTACACGAGTTTGTTCAGGAGTGGAGATGCATAACTAATCGATCGATGTGATGCGCACAGACCTGATAGCTTAATTACGAGGGCTGTTCTCAATCGAAGTCTTGAGCAATGATCAATCTTATGGAGCTAAAAGCATAGGATATTGTGGAGGGTACGTATAAACAGTAATAGCTGTAGCAAGCGGGGTGGCATGGAGTGCAAGAATTGCAGAGAACACGAGGAACAAAGAGGCCACTCTTCTTCATTTCCACTTCACAAAAAAGGTAAGCTTGTCTCCATTTACAAACTACAACGCGTTAATTGCTTGCATTCCTTACAATGTACAGCGTTCATTGGGGTGAACATGTGGTCAATGGCGACACTTTCCAGCTGCAGACATTCAACAACAAGTACGCGCGCGATCTGCCCATGACTCATGCTTCCATTGCAATACAACATGTACGTTCCATCGCTGCATCACTTTACCATTCAAGCTGGACATTGAGATACTAAAGTTCACGTGTAGTTTACTATTCTCGCGTTTATACGAGATCCAAAGGGGGCGTCGTGTGTCGTGTGTATGCTTTCCATGGTTGCCATCAAGGAGGGTCGCAACCTATTGTTACTATGGGTATGTCGACATGAAAAGCGAACGTTATTGTTACCTTACACTTCACTTACTGTAGCTTGGACACGTTGGATTATGGTACCTGTGGCAGCAACAGGATACGGATCTCAAAGCAAGAATGCTGTATGGTTGGCTCAATGGTATGCGTGGTATTGGATCTACAAAGCAAAACATGTTAATTAACAAGACTTACAGTGAAACAACAGCAAGATAATATGGATTACGTGGAGATACGGTTTCATTTGAGGCATTGATGCTATTTAGAATACCACAAGGTAAGAGTGTTCATTATGATGGGATTGGTTGGATTCAAGTGGACTTACCAAACGCCATACAGTGGCAGAGCCTCTTTCGGCGATACTATTATTATCACGGCTGCACGTCAAGGATGTCATTGTATAGTACTGTGCTCTCCTGGGGAATTTTGGCCCGGAAACAGTGTGACTCAAGGTGCGATGGCAAGGCCAATTTGAAAAGGCATCCGCTGTGCACACGGCCTCCATCCAAGTACGGCTATTGATTTCCTTGCCTACAGAGA